CACTACATGGTGCTACTTTAAAAGAGTACACTTAAAAAGGCTTACAAGTAAGGAGGCTTACATGTTGGGAATTCTTTTAGTGAAAGGAGAAGCTGCACAATGTATGAAAGCTAGAAGAACAGAGAAAACTGGAAGAGTAAAGAAAGAAGAGACAGAAGGTTCATGATAATACATGGGGAGGAGGAAAGTGATAGCTAAGGGAATGAAAGTAAGAGAAAATATCTTTCAGAAAATAGGTTAGCTTTGAGAACAAAATAGGCAGATACCAATATGAAAAGGTAGGATGAAAAATAAATATACAGGTGTATGTATTTCTAAAACACTATTAGAAATCAGAGTAAAGAGAACAATCAGAATGACTGATTCCACAGGCACCACAATGTATTAATCATCCAATAACTTGATACAACTGAAAATATTAAATGTGATGACCTTGTTTTTTAAGTTTCAGAGGAGTAGCTGAGCTAGTCTGTAACAGGAAAAACTTAAAAAACAACAAATAGTTTAGTAGCACTTTAAAGACTAACAAAACATAGAGGTGGTATCATGATCTTTCGTGGGCACAGCCCACTTCTTCGGATGACCGGAGTGTTGGAATTCTAGAACCAAGTTGGTTCTTGGTTCTGGACTTCCAACACCTGGTCATCAGAAGAAGTGGGCTGTGCCCACGAAAGCTCATGATACCACCTCTATGTTTTGTTAGTCTTTAAAGTGCTACTAAACTATTTGTTGTTTTTTAAGTTTTTTCTTGCTTTTTAAGGCCATTGAATTTTTGAAGGTGAGTATAGTGCTTGTGATTGGCAGCTCTGGAGACTTAAGTCCTCTATCCCAAGAGCAGGTAAATAAATCATAGGCAGTAAAGTTCAAACGGTGAGGCACAAGCTTCTTAATACTGCCCTTGCAGCCTTACAATGAAAGGGCTATTTGAATGGAGAGAAAGATTACTTTAATCACCTCTGAGTTTAGTCTTTGGCCTTTCTGAGAAGATTGCCAACAAAGATCCCAACTATGGTACTGATTTTGGGAAGTGCAGTGTTCACTAGGAAGTGGGATTAAACCAACTCATTTCACAGGGGTTACCCCAACAGCATTTAGGGGCCTCAGGCTATGTTTAGACTGCAGGCTTCTTTTGGAAGAAGCTTTTTTTGGAAGAGATCTTCCAGAAAAACGTCTTCCGAAAGAGAGCGATCACATTGCAAAAGTGCACCAAAAAAGCGATCTGCTTTTTCCAAAGAGTCTTTGGGGGAGGGGAAGGGGCTGAGAAGGAATAGGAAGCTGATGAGAAGGCTAAATGTTGGTTATGTTTTCCTTTTGGTCCCTTGCTCAGCTGCTGCCTACACCTGGTACTACAACTAAGTAAATGAACAGTGAACTGCATAATTGCTCATTGTTTTCTGAAGAAGGAGGAACATCATAATGTTCCAGTATGGTAGATGCAATAATATCAGAATTAAGATTTGGGAGAGACTATGAAGAGGCAGAGGGAGGGGCAAGGTTGGGAAACAATGGTACAGATGTAGAGGCATTCCATGAGGCATCTGGAGATGTTGGGAGAAAAGCAAAGGATCAGCTGGTTTATCAGACTCACTCTATTATGGTATAGTAGGGAAGTAAGATTTGGAGAGGAAGGGGAAATGCCTTAACCAATCCATGTTTTCTTGTCACCCAGCACTGCATGAGACAGATGGAATAATTGGAACAGGGATACTGCTTGCTCTAGTAAATGAGTGTCTGCAATTGAAAAGGATGTTATCCGTTCTGCTGTCATCTTTGGAGATGAGAAACATGAGAAACAGTGCCTGGTCCATTGCTCACAGGGTCACTTTGCTCCTTTACTGCTAGTGATCCAAATATAATTCAGTGCTAAATGAGACTGGGTCAGTGCTCTATTTTTCAGTCTTTTAAAAATAATCTTCTTCCAGACTTGTTGGAATCCGTTAAAGGTATCCATAATATTCCAAGAGACACTTCTAGCTGTACAGCAAGTCATGTCTTGTTTCCTGTCCTGCCCCACCACAGGCATCAGATATTGGAGAGTGGCCCTGCAGAGACCTTGATTGGTAAAATGTCAGCTAGATTAGGGAACAGATGGATGACCAGTGAGGGAGACAGAGTGAGTTTGGGGAGGAATTCCTTTCTTTTTCTCTCCTGTTGGGCCAGCAGGCTATTTGGGGAAGAGGAATATTGGAGACTCCTGGGGGACTTAATCATCTTCTGCAGAACACTGGGGGCAGGAATTAGAAGTTGAGTGGTGGCTAGATGTGGTTTATATTTACCAGCAGAGGTATCTGTGAAATCATGATGCAGAAGCAGCACTGAGGAGTTGAACTAGCAGCCAGCAGTGATTGTGAGACAAGTGGATTCCTTGATTCAAGGATATAGGAACAAAAAGGATTGTGATTGGAGAATATGGACCGGTGGCCATCATTGATAAAAATGTTAAGTAATATAGGGCCAAGAACTGATATCTGAGGGAGGACGCTAGTTTGATGATGATTCCCATTTACAGTTTCTTTTTGAGACCTATCAGCTGTCCATCTTTTAATCCATTTAATGTGTTCTGTTAATTTTACATTATGCTTGAATTTTAATCAAAATGGTTGGTGATACCAAGTCAGACACCCGATATAAATTATTACCTTTATCAATCAAAATTTTAAACTAATAAAAAATAAAATAAATTTAGCATGATAGAATCTATTTTCCATGAACCTATGTTGATTGGCAGTAATTATACTACCCTCCTTAATTCCTTATTAATCAAATCCTGTATCAGCTGCTCCATTAGCTTGCCTAGGATTGGTATTAGCCTGACAGGCCTATAAATTACCTCGGTCAATCGCATTTGCCCTTTTAAAATATTGGCACACAGTAGCTTTTATCCAGTCTTCTGGAACATCCCCAGTATTCCAAGACTCATAGAAAAACAACATATACTACCCTCCTTAATTCCTTATTAATCAAATCCTGTATCAGCTGCTCCATTAGCTTGCCTAGGATTGGTATTAGCCTGACAGGCCTATAAATTACCTCGGTCAATCGCATTTGCCCTTTTAAAATATTGGCACACAGTAGCTTTTATCCAGTCTTCTGGAACATCCCCAGTATTCCAAGACTCATAGAAAAACAACATTAACCATGGTTCCTTATATGGTGTTCCACTTTAATAAGGAAAAGATCATTCAAGGATGAAAATATGGTACAGTAGTCCTAAGTAGGGCACATTTATTTTGGCAACATTTTCTCTGTGCTTACCCTGAACAGGCATGATGTGAGGGTTTTCACTCATTCATGTAAGCATTTTGCATTTCTGATGTCTGATAAGTTTCTTGGGTCTGTGTGGGTTCTTCCTATTTATTACTCACAGGCTACTCTATAGACCCCTGAGTGCCGAGACCAAAAGGAAGGTACAGAAAGACACCACAATGACTGGGTACAATTTCATGTCACAACTGAGAAGTTTAGAAGCTGAATGTTTAGCTTTAGATGAAGTGACTAAGTAGATTGTATGCTCAGAGCCAGGACTGAATTTTCAAAAATCTAGCCCCATTTATATTCATCTTTGAAAATTCCTGTGATTTTTGTGAGACAAGATGAGTGAGGTAATATCTCTTACTGGATCAACTTCTCCTGGTGAGAGAGAAAATCTTTTGAACAACACAGAGCTCTTTTTCAGATGACTTTTGTCAAATCTTTTCTGAAAACTTCCATGCACCTTTGAGGAACTTCCACCTAATCACTCAGAGTTGTGGCCATTGTAATATTGCTTAAATATAATCACTGTGCTATGAAAGCTAAATCATACAATTCAGCTTTTTGATGTACTATGCCTGTGCTATGTAAATTGCAGAAAATCCTCCATTTTTACCAACAATGCTCTGAAACACTGCCACTTTGTGGTCATTCAAAGTTATGGCAGACAGAGCATATTTCCTGAATTTGGTTGTGCTCCCATAAAAATTCAGAAATAAATACATTAGCAGTATGGCTGGTTAAAATGACCTATTTTTGTTAAAAAAAAAGTTCTGAAGAGTTTTTTTTACAATTCAAAAACAGCACAATCAAGAATTTTTCTAGCCATTTATTCAGACGTTCACAGTCTATTTCATGCCTCTACAGTTATAGTTCACAGTAGGTCTATCAAACCAGGTTAACCAGAACTGAAGAGAAATCACAAACTGAGTGAGATTTTAAATGCCTCTTTGAAGCAGAATGAAAAATCCTTCCCCTTAAGAGGGAAATTCTTTAACAAGGGCCTGAACACCGCTCCAAAATCCGGCAGTTTCTTTCCAAATGAAAAGCTACAGACCTCATAGTTCCAGGAACCAAGGTGAGCAATTTTCCTTAAGTGACAATGTTTATAAATAATGAGAAGCAAGTTTCCTTTCTTTTTCAGGACTGTTCATAATGAACTGCCCAATCTCTATGCACCCACTGTGCTAGGGATCATACCATACAGCAGACCTGTCCATAGAAGCTTATTGAGGGGTGGGGGGGGGGGGGGAGCTGCAGCACCCCCTGGTTTGAAGTGGTTTCCATTATGTACAGGGTTTCTAGTTGGATGCAGGAGCTGTCAGCACCCTCACTATAAAAATTGTTCCAGCACCCCTGGATCTGTCTACCAGCTACACTTTGCAACAAAGTCCTGGCCTTGGATGGTGCGGGGATGCTCAAATCCCATCGATTTTTTAAATAGCAATTGAGAGCGAGGTTGACTGGTTACATTCGTGTGTGCACTGCAAATTTCACATTGCCCACTAAATCCCTGGTAGTCCCCTAACGAAGGGCCTGATTTCAGCTTCCCTCCAAGCCTCTTTTCCTTGCTCAGCAAGCCTGAAAAAATAATCAGGCTCCAAGAAACGATTTTCTTAATTGCCTTGCCTTGTTGAACATGGCACTAACAACCTGTGTAGGCTTAAGAACCAGAGGCAGGAAGCAGCCCTGCCTGCCGCGGTCTGTCATCTGACTGCTGTCATGTGAGAGGCAGAAGCTCATTGACCAGCCTACAACTGCTGCTCTCAAATCACAGGCTGCAGCCTGCCGCCGCCAGCTATGCTGCTTCTCCTCCTCTTTCTGCTCCCTTCGCCGCAGCCGGGACGCAGCGCGCGCTATGATCCTACCTGGGAGTCTCTGGATTCCAGACCACTTCCGCCGTGGTTTGATGAAGTCAAGTTTGGCATTTTCATCCACTGGGGCGTGTTCTCCGTGCCCGGCTTCGGCAGCGAGTGGTTCTGGTGAGGCTCCCTCCATGCGTTTGTCTCTCCTCACTTCCTCCTTTATGTTTCTTTAACGCTCCCTTGCTTCTTCTGTCGACACGGCAGCCTGTTGTGCTTTCTTCCTTCCCTAATGAAGCTGCACCCTGTAGTAAACAACATTTCACTCAATCCCCCCCCCCCCCCCCCCCCCAGTAAAGTGATAGGAGAGAATTGAACCACAACCTCACATCTGATGAACACCCTTGAAAGTTGGGAGAGTCAGAAATGGAAATCCACAGACAAATTTTGCAATGTCTGAAATGCCATTTCTTTGGGAATGTTAATGATGTCTATTCACTCCTAAAAGCACTCATGCATCTGATATAGAGCAAAAGGGATCTACCTTAATCATAAATATACCAAAAATAAATAAGAAAGCTTTGAGCATGATACAGATCCTTCCAAAACAAAGTTTATGGTGGAATGTCATTGCTAAAATCACTTTTCCTTGAGCCATAAGGATCCACCCACTAGCAAAATTATCCTCTTATTGTGTAATAATATTTTCAAATCCTCACTATCAACACCCGTTGTCCTCAAACTTTCCCATGTGAACTTTTTTGTAAAGGCTGGGCTGTATAGGGTTGTACAGCCTGTAAATGAGGGCAAAATTTGTTCCTGAAGTAGAAATGGACTCCTTTCCCCAATCCTGACTGCACATCTGCTGATAACTACTGTGTTTGATTACACACACAAAAAGATTAAAATACACTCACTTTAAAAATGGACAAAAATGGTTGGGGATGCTCTCCCATTTTGTATTTGAGCTATTATTTACTACCCATGTACCAGATTTTGATGTGGAGTAACTATTGACTGTAGGTAGCATATATAATTGTGGTATGTCCTTATTTACCATGTGATTACAGCCGTCCATTGTTAGTACCAACTTTCTTTCCTTGTATATAGCAGCTCCCACTTCTGATCTCAGCAGATCTCTTTTCAGTTTCTTTCTGGTCCTTTTTTTTTTTTTTTTTTTGCTATTAGTCTGTCAGCTAATGTTATTAGTGACCTGTGCATTACAATGGAGAAGAGAGTAAAAAGTGAGGTCAGTTTCCTTAGACATTTAAATGCTTGAAATTGCAACTATTTTCCCACATTTTTTCCATAGGAAGTTTTCTGGACCTTTTCTTCCAGATTTTTCTCTACAAGAGGCCAAGTTCTGGATTTTCATGAGTACTGGTGAGATTAAACTCTGATCCTCAACTTGGAATTTTAAACTGAATTTTTAAATGTTTTTTTTTCTTCACTGGTTTTGAATCAACACCAGTGTGTGTCTAAACTTACTGGGTGGTCTTACTAGGGCAGTAGGACTTTTTATATAGTAAGCCGTGTGTGGCCATGTCAGTCTCAGGATATGCAACAGACAAGGTGGGTAAGTAAGGTAGCCTACCTTTTTTTTGACCTAACTTTTGTTGGTGAAAAACACAAGATTAGGGCAACACAGAGTTTTTCTTTGACCATCAGAAGACGGTCCAATAAAAGATATCAAAGAAGATTAGGGGCTGGAAGAGACCTTGAGAGGTCCAACCCCCTGCCCAAAACTACATCATTCTAACCAGGGCTTTCTCAAGCCTGGCCTTAAAACTTTAAGGATGGAGATTCCATCACTTCCATTCCAATGCTTCACTACCCTACCTAAGCCCAGATCCCTCAGTCGCTCCCCATGAGTCATGTGCCCCAGTCCCATAGTAATTTTCATTGCCCTCCACTGCACTTTCTCCAATTTGTTCACATCCCTTCTATAGTGGGGCCCCAAAACTGGACATCATATTTCAGATATGGCGGCCTCACCAGAGCAAATTGAGGGGAATAACCACTTCCCTTGATCTGCTGGCAATGCTTCTATTAGTGCAGCCCAATATGCAATTAGCCTTCTTGCTAAATACCCAGGTCCTTTTCTGCTGACCTGTCACTTAGTGAGTTGGTACCCAGCCTGTAGCAGTGCATGAAATTCTTCACTTTCTTTGTTGGACATCATCAGATTTCTCTTGGCCCAACCTCCAATTTGTGTAGGTCACTCTGAACCCTATTCTTACCCTCCAACGTGTCTACCTCTCCTCCCATTACAGTGTCACCTGCCAACTTGATGAGGGTGCAATCCATCTCATTCATGTCAATAATGAAGATGTTGGGGGAAAAAGCCCCCAGGACTGACCCTTGGGGTATTCTACTTGATACCAACTGCCTCTAGACATCCAACTGTTGATCATTATCCATTAAGTCCCCTTATCTAACCACTTTTGATCCATCTTATCAGGCCAAACTTCTTTAATTTGCTGGCAATAATACTGTGGAAGACTATATCAAAAGCCTCGATAAAGTCAAGGTATATCACATCCACTGTTTTCCCCATATCCACAGAGCTAGTTATCACAGAAGGCAATTAGGTTGTTCAGGCATGACTTGCCCTTGGGGAATCCATGTTGACTTTTCCTGCTCACCTTCCTCTTGTCCAAGTTTTCCATGGGATGTGCTGCTGCATGTGCTCTTCCGTCATGACCGGATTTCCACATGCCCGCCTGGTTGGATTACCAACTGTCTAATCATACAAACCCAAAGACACTTGCCCTGCTCCCTGCCCCATCTCATCCCTGAGGCTATGCCCCTGCTCCCTCAATCCCTCCTCTCCAGTCTTCACCAGGCTGCTTCAGAGAGCTGGGATGCAGAAGGTGGTGGGTGGTGCAGGCTCTGGGAAGGAGTTTAGTGTGGGGTGGGGGCTGTGGGATCTGGGAGGGAGTTGGGGTGCTGGATTTGGACATTGGAGTGCAGGAGGGAATCAGGAGGATGGTGCTTACCTCATCTGGCTCCCAAAAGCAACGAGGAGTCCATTCTGGCAGTGGGCTCCTTGACTGGGGCCAATGGAAGCTGCAGAGCTGATGCTTGGGGTGGGGGGCAGTGCGCAGAGACACCTCCTTCCCAGGGGCTATAGGGACAGTACCAGCTGTTTCCGAAAGCGGCGCCCGTGAGGGCAGGCAGGAAGCCTGCCTTAGTTCCACTGTGCTGCCTGCCCTCCCAGGCCCTTTTAAATCACCTGGCCCTCTGGGCAACTGTCCCATTTGTTGTCCCCCATCCTCTAGGGTCTGTTTTGGGACCCGTACTGTTCAATATCTTCATCAATGATGTAGATATTGGGATAGAGAGTACGCTTATTAAATTTGCAGATGATACCAAACTGGGTGGGGTTGCAACTTCTTTGGAGGATAGGGACATAATTCAAAATGACCTTAGCAAGTTAGAGAAACGGTCAGAGGTAAACAGGATGAGGTTTAATAAAGAGAAATGCAAAGTGCTCCACTTAGGAAGGAACAATCAGTTCCATACATACAAGATGGGAAGCGACTGTCTAGGAAGGAGCATGGCAGAAAGGGATCTAGGGGTCATAGTGGACCACAAGTTGAATATGAGTCAACGGTGTGATGCTGTTGCAAAAAAAGCAAATATGATTCTAGGTTGTATCAACAGGTGTGTTGTAAGCAAAACTCGTGAAGTCATTCTGCCGCTCTACTCTGCACTAGGTAGGCCTCAGCTGGAGTACTGTGTCCAGTTCTGGGCGCCACATTTCAAGAAAGATGTGGAGAAATTGGAAAGGGTACAGAGAAGAGCGACAAGAATGATTAAAGGTTTAGAGAACATGACCTATGAAACCAGGCTTCATGAACTGGGCTTGTTTAGTTTGGAAAAAAAAGATTAAGGGGGGACATGATAGCGGTTTTCAAATATCTAAAAGGGTGTCACAAGGAGGAAGGAGAAAATTTGTTCCTCTTGGTTTCTGAGGACAGGACAAGGAGTAATGGGCTTAAAGTGCAGCAGGGGAGGTTTAGATTGGACATTAGGAAAAAATTCCTAACTGTCAGGGTGGTCAAATATTGGAATAAATTGCCAAGGGAGGTGGTGGAATCTCCCTCTCTGGAGATATTTAAGAACAGGTTAGATAGACATCTGTCAGGGATGGTGTAGACGGAGCTTGGTCCTGCCTTGAGGGCGGGGGGCTGGACTCGATGACCTCTCGAGGTCCCTTCCAGTCCTATGATTCTATGATTCTACCTGTTAGCAAGCTTGGCTGCTCCTGCTCTGCTACTGTGGGCACACTTAAAATGACCTATTATCGCTAGGCAGTCCCAGAATAGGGGTATTCCTACAAAACTGGCCACGTGGCCTACTTCCCACACCAGGTCAGGTATAGTAATAAGTTTTCGATTATTTTAATTGTAGATTTTTTTTAAAAGTCATTGGATGTTTTTATTGTGTATTTGGAAGGTGGTACTGGCAGAAGGAAAAGATACCGTCCTATGTAAAATTTATGGAGACAAATTACCCTCCTGGCTTCAGTTATGAAGATTTTGGCCCTTTGTTTACAGCAGAGTCTTTTGATGCCAATCAGTGGGCAGATATTCTGAAGGCTTCTGGTGCAAAATATGTTGTCTTGACTTCAAAACATCATGAAGGTAATGTGTGCGAGTACTGGCAATATTGCACTGCATGGTTCATTTCTTTTAGCATAGAACAAAAACCCAAGTGAAGCTATCTTGTTCACCTGGCTAAATGCTAAACAACTGACAAGATTAAGTGGCATTATTCAGCCCAGATCTCCCATACAATGTTTGAACTTTGAGGGACAGGAGAATTCATTATCACATTATTCCTCCTTTTACTGGTTGCAATGACTGAAGTTATTTTCTACATAGTAGCCTACAAAGGTAGCTACAACAGCCCCAAAAGTTGTTAATGTCTGACTATTTTGTAATTTAGATCTAGACTTTTTATTGCTTAATGAACCACTAGAGTAAATGGTTTTCTGTTTCATAGGGAACATTGCTGTTTCTGTTAACTCTATACATTTCTTTTGCTCTTGGGAGTCAGTTATAGATTTTAAACTATACACAAGTATATTTCAACATTAGTAGCCTAATTTCTAGTATTACTGCTGCAACTAAAACCTAAAATCAAAACCAGGTCACTGTGTTACTAGGTGCTATAAATACCCAGAGTAAGAGACAATTCTTATCCTAAAAAGTTTACAGTCTAAATGGACAAGGTAGAGAAAAGGAGTATTATCGTCATGATTTTATCACCATTTAGAAGACCAATAGAGATTTTAAGTGACTTGCCCAAGGTTACAGAGGAAGTCTATGGATGAACAGATCCAGATTACCTGAGCTTTGGTCCTGTCACCACAAGACTATATTTTCCCCTAATGCTCTTTTAATCTTTCTCCTTTTGATAAATAGTATCGAACTTCACAGCACTGCATCTTGATAGGTCCATAGCGGTGGCAATTCATCTCACAATGTCAGGGTACGTCTACAATACAGGATAAAGCTGAAATAAGATACACAACTTCAGCTATGTTAATTGTGTAGCTGAATTCAAAGTACTTTAACTCGACTTTTGGCACTGTCCACGTTGCATGAAGTCAAAGGGAGAACACTCTCCTTTTGACTTACCTTACTGCTCGTGGAAGCAGGACTACCGACATCAACCGGAGTGCCCCTCTTGGTTTGAATTAGCTGTCTTAATTAGACTCGCACTACTGGACCAACCCGGCAGCCCCCCAGCTGCTCTACCCCAGGTGTTCTGATTCAGCCGCTGCTGAAACTGACCAGCGGCAAGAAAAGCCTGGTCTGCTGGGAGGGGGGGCCCGCCCCAGCTGTGCCCCCCCCCCAGCAGACCAGGCTTTTCTCACTGCGGTGGTGGGACCACGGTACGTCTCGGTGGTCCCGCTGCCCGCGTCCTCCGCCGCGAGAAAAGCCTGGGCTGCCGGGGGGGCACTGTGTGGAAGTTTTCAGAGAACTGTCCACGATAACTCCAAGATCTCTTTCCTGATTTGTCGTAGCCAAATTAGCCCCCATCATACTGTACGTATAGTTGGGGTTATTTTTCCCGATGTGCATTACTTTACACTTATCCACATTAAATTTCATTTGCCATTTTGTTGCCCAATCACTCAGTTTGGTGAGATCTTCTTGGAGTCCCTCACAGTCTGCTTCTGTCTTGACTATCCTAAACAGTTTGGTATCATCTGCAAACTTTACTACCTCACTGCTTACCCCTTTCTCCAGATCATTTATGAATAAGTTGAAAAGGATTGGTCCCAGGACTGACCCTTGGGGTACACCACTAGTTACCCCTCTCCAATCTGAAAATTTACCATTTATTCCTACCCTTTGTTTCCTGTCTTTTAGCCAGTTCTCAATCCAAGAAAGGACCTTCCCTCTTATCCCATGGCCATGTAATTTACACAAGAGCCTTTGGTGAGGGACCTTGTCAAAGGCTTTCTGAAAATCCAAGTATACTATATCTACTGGATCCCCCTTGTCCGCATGTTTGTTAACCCCTTCAAAGAACTCTAATAGATTAGTAAGACAGGATTTCCCTTTACAGAAACGATGTTGACTTTTGTCCAACAAATTATGTTCTTCTACATGCTTCACAATTTTATTCTTTACTATTGTTTCGACTAATTTGCCCGGTACTGAAGTTAGACTTACCGGTCTGTAATTGCCAGGATCGCCTCTAGAGCCCTTTTTAAATATTGGTGTCACGTTGGCTACCTTCCAGTCATTAGGTATGGAAGCCGATTTAAAGGATAGGTTACAAACCACAGATAATAGCTCAGCAATTTCCCATTTGAGTTCTTTTAGAACCCTTGGATGAATGCCATCCGGTCCCGGAGATTTGTTAACATTAAGTTTTTCTATTTGTTCCAAAACCTCCTCTAATGACACTTCAATCCAGGACAGTTCCTCAGATTCATCACCCACAAAGGACGGTGCAGATTCAGGAATCTCCCCAACGTCCTCAGCCATGAAGACTGAAGCAAAGAAATCATTTAGTTTCTCCGCAATGGCTTTATCGTCCTTGATTGCTCCTTTTATAGCTCGATCATCTAGGGGACCCTCAGGCTTTTTAGCAGGCTTCCTGCTTCTAATGTACTTAAAAAACATTTTATTTCTTTTTGAGTTTTTGGCTAGCTGTTCCTCAAAATCTTTTTTTGCTTTTCTTATTACATGTTTACACTTGATTTGACAGTGTTTATGTTCCTTTCTATTTATCTCACTAGGATTGGACTTCCACTTCTTAAAAGATACCTTTTTGTCCCTCACTGCTTCTTTTACATGGTGGTTAAGCCATGGTGACTCTTTTTTAGGTCTCTTGCTATGTTTTTTAATTTGGGGTATACATTTAAGTTGGGCCTCTATTATGGTGTCTTTAAAAAGTTTCCATGCAGCTTTCAGGGATTTGGCTCTACTCACTGTGCCTTTTAAAGATCTCACAGTGATATTGTCAAAGCAGTAACCTGCTGTTTCCCTCCATCAGGCCTGTTGAACACAGTCATTAGTCCAGAAATTGTTTTTAAGAGCAACTCAGGGTGTGGGCTTTGTACTGGCAACCAGTAATTAATGAGTGTCCCAGGTCTGACACGTGGGCTGAAACCTTGAGCCCACTGAAATTGAGCATAAAAATCCCCTTCAGAGTAGCCTGGATTACAGGCAGCTTCATTTATGGCTTTGAGTAAGTTCCTTAACCTATCTGTCTCTTTAAAATGGGGTTAATGATATTTGCCAGTTTCCACAAGTGCTGTGAAAATTTGTTAGATAATGTTTCTAAAGCTCTTTGAAGATGAAAATCTAGTCTCTCTGGCTTTGGTCTGTTCTGGTTTAGGCAATAGTGCAAGGTAGCTGTATTGAACATGCTGACACTGAGCTGCTATGTTATAACTTTGGGTACCTGAAAAGTTAAAGTCAGTGGTACTTAATGTTCAGTTTAGCTTTTTAAAGGCTACTCTGTTTTCCCTCTGCATAGATAAACTTATTGAGTGCTTGATTAACATTTTTAATAAGTAATGAAAAGAGGAGCATTTCATAAGATATCATGATCAAGAGACCGCAATAGACTTTCAATGCAAATCATAGAGGGAAGAGTTTTTAAAATAATTAACCCTTGGTCTACACTAGGGGATAAATTCAAATTAAGATAAGAAACTTCAGGTATGCTAATTGTGTAGCTGAAGTCAAAGTATCTTAACTCAAATTTTGGCACCATCCACACTGTGGGAAGTCAAAGGGAGCACACTCTTCCTTCTGACTTCTCTTACTCCTTGTAGAAGCAGATCTATGGGCACCGACAGTAGTGCCCTCTCTGTTCAAATTAGCATGTCTTCATTAGACCCGCTAATTCGAACTCCAGAAGATCAACTGCGGCTGCTTCCATCTAATCTGTAATGTAGAGATGGCCTGAATGTGTCAAGTACTTTGCTGTTCTTGGATGTATATTGAGATGATATATTTGATGCATCTAAGCAGTCATTTAGATTCCCCCCTTCTCTACAAGTTACTGTGTTTCTGGCTTATATACAAGGAAAATATGTAGAATAAACACGTAATATGAGAAAAGAATAATTGCTTAGTGCAGAAACTGAGCGTTATGTGTTATACGTAGACATGGTTCTTTATAGTTAAAACAATTTTTAAGCAATTTTTAAGCAACATCTTGATATTGGACTCTTCTAAAGGAAGGAATGTTACAGTGATACTGTAGTTAGAGATTTCCGTGATAAGGAAAGCAGAAGTGGGAGAGCCTACTTCCTCTTTCTGGGGAACTGCAACCAGCATGTGTTTCACAAATAGAATAACATATACAAGAATATGTTAACAATGCCCTTTATTCTCTTTTTATCCTTCAACTTTCTCTTTCTAGGTTTTACTTTGTGGGGGTCCAGATACTCTTGGAACTGGAATGCTGTCAATGTAGGACCAAAAAGGGACCTTGTGGCTGAATTGGCAACATCTATTAGAAACAGCACTGAGTTGCACTTTGGGTTGTACCACTCTCTCTTTGAATGGTTCAATCCTCTTTTCCTTTATGATGCCTCCAATGTATTCACGACAAGACAGTTTCCAACTGCCAAATCATTGCCTGAACTCTATGAGATTGTGATGAAATACCAACCAGAGATCCTCTGGTCTGATGGGGATGGTAACGCACCAGATACTTACTGGAACAGCACTGGATTTTTAGCCTGGCTGTATAATGACAGGTATCTTGTTTTTATCATATCTTTAACCCTTAAATTGGAATTCTGGCCAGCTCTGTTTCTTTTTTCATATGTTGTGTGGGATACATTGTTTCACTTAATAGGCACTTAATCATATCTCCCACTTAATTTTCCTGCAATATAAGGAAGCAAGTCAGGGAAGAGAATTCTCATTAATAACCAATTATTAGATGTGACTGAAAAATTGTGAAACATTTTCATGCAAAATGTCAAGCAGATCGACAAGTTCCATGAACAAGATATGGCCATTCTGTCTGTTTCTTTTCTCCTGTAACAGTCAACTACCACAATGGCAAGTAGGATGGTTTTGTTAAGAATATGATCAAGACACTTTCTTCACAGACCACGCCTTTGACACTGCACATAAGACATAGTGTATATTCAAAGATCTGTATTGCAATCTATATCAATGGCAGACAGTCAGAGGCTAGCCTGAGTAAGGAATGTAGAAGTGGGTCCATTTGCAACTTGCATTCTGTGTAAGACCTCAGAGATAGAAATATCAGACTTCTTACTCATTTACATTATGTGAAGAGGAAAATTAGGCATATAGAAGTCATCCTGAGTGTGAATTTCTGGGGAAAAGAATTGTCATTTAGAATACATAATTAAAATTCATACCCATTTCTGTAATTTCAGCCCAGTTCGGGATACAGTTGTAACAAATGATCGCTGGGGACTTGGCAGTATTTGTAAGCATGGTGGATACTACACCTGCAGCGACCGTTATAATCCAGGATACCTTTTGCCTCATAAGTGGGAGAACTGTATGACCATAGACAAACAGTCATGGGGTTATAGAAGGAATACACGGCTAAGCGATTACTTCACGATTGAAGAACTGGTAAAGGTACAGTAAGACAGAGAGATGGTATTCAGTATCTGGCCATTACTTCTGATTATTATAGTTCATCAGTGTAATGTTAAGAAATATCTTAATGACCTCTTGATGATAATTTCCTGGGAATATATTATCAAACTAAGTTTCATAATGGCTCTACCTTAACTGTGCAAATCTTATGGTTTGATTGATGGTCTCTCACACAAATTGGATAATATAATCAAAGGCATTCTGTGCCAAAAATTAAAAATCATGTGCATAATATTTTAAGATTCTGTGAATATTATTTGTCAAATAAATGTTCAAGTTCCAGCATGGCAGTGGGGAGCACAGGGTACTGACTGCACAGAGGTGGGAGATCACTGTGCAACTCTTGTTAGGTCATGGACCCAGCGATGAGAGTGCACCCAACCCTGCCAGTGCAAGGATCAGGCCTGCTGCAAACGTCCAGGGCCATGCTCCTCCACGCCAGGTGTGGGCAGGCAGTCTTAGCAAGGCAGGATCTAAGGAGGGACTTAGCGTGGGGGGATCCAGGTGTGGGTTGAGAGGGTTCTGTGTGGGGCAATCTTGGTGTGGGCAGCTCAGTGGGAATCTGGATGCATGGGGGCTTGTTGTGGGGTTCTGGGTGCAACAGTAATGGGAATCTGCAGCAGGTTCAGGTGAAATTGGTTGGGGCTCAACAGGGCATGTGTGAGGGTAGAGGGGATAGACATAATTGGGGTGTCTGAGTACAGGGGGTTCAGTGGGCAGTCCATAAACAGGGGAACTGGGGCTCATTGGGGTGGGGAGCCAGGTACAGCTAGCTTATTGGGGTAGTCCAGGTGCAGGGGGAGTGGGGCTCATTAGTTGGGCTGCTGAGTTCAGGGCTGGGAGGGGGGTGAGAGTTGGCAGGAAGGTCTGGATATGAGGGAGTCTGCATGCACAGAAGTTGGGCAGAAAGGGGAGCAGCTCCCTATGCAGAGATCCCTGTCCCTGCAGCTGAGGAGCAATGGGTGAAGCAAGCAGGGAGTGAAGTTTGTAGAGATTTCTGCATTGGAGAGAAATCTGGGGTGTTAACTCTGACCTGGCCCCAGATGCTGTGTAGGGGAAGAGGAAGCCCCGTCTTTTTCAGCCCAGCTGGGACTATTAGCTGAGTTCGGTGATGAGTAGGAGCCACCATCTAGGTCTTCCCCAGTCCTACTCTCTGATTCACAGGGTATGTCTACACTACCCTCCTAGTTCGTACTAGGAGGGTAATGTAGGCATACCGCACTTGCAAATGAAGCCCAGGATTTGAATTTCCCGGGCTTCATTTGCATAAACTGGGCGCCGCCATTTTTATATCCCTGCTCGTTCGAACCCCGTGCCGCGCAGCTACACGCGGCACGAACTAGGTAGTTCGGACTAGGCTTCCTAGTCCGAACTACCCGTGTAGCCACGCAGCACGGGGTTTGAACGAGCAGGGATTTAAAAATGGCGGCGCCCAGCTTATGCAAATGAAGCCCGGGAAATTCAAATCCCGGGCTTCATTTGCAAGTGCGGTATGCCTACATTACCCCGCTAGTTCGAACTAGCGGGGTAGTGTAGACATACCCACAGGGATTTACCTCTCTGCCAACTGCTGTGTGGCACATGAAACATACTGTTGGGAAGGGCCGCATGACTACTCTTGTGGCGTCCCTTTGCTTCTGCATCAGAAAGTCATTTTTCTGCAGGGAAGCAAAGAAATCTGCAGTAGACATAAATTCTGTGCATGTGCAATGTTGTAGAATTTCCTCAGGAGTAACACATGTGGAATCAAGATGAGGATCAGGCCCATAAATTCCACTCAGTTACTTTTATTGAAGAGGCAAGCCCTTCCTCTTCTTTCTGTCTTTAAGGTTCTCTCTGCTCCTTCTCTGTGATGACAGGTATGAAGTAGTAATAAGCCGTGATTATTTAGTATTCTTTTAAGTATTTTTTGCAAATTATAATACACATTTAAATTCCATAAAAATGGATGGGCCTTATGTCTGCTGAATCTCTGTTTACAGAGCAGAAAGCTAATTGTTTCCAAAAAGAGTCTACATTCATGCAGCATAAAGAGTGATAAGCTACACTAAATGTTACTACTTTATTCATACAAATGCATAAAAGATTTCCAAAGACAGGATAGAAATATAAACATGTCTTACAGGTTAGTGGAAATAACAATACAAGTCTGAATTCACTATATCTGACCCAGGTTTGAAGTTTGGTCCGTAAGAAGGAATTTGAGTTTGTCTGTTCTTCATTCAGGGGACACTTTTGTCATTTCACCCTCAACATCACTCTGTGGGAGTTCGACAACAGATGGTGCTGAGTACATATTGCTGACTTATCTAAAAAACCCAAATACACTTCTTCCTCCACAGCCACCTTTATTGCCCTGCAGAGTTCAAAGGGAGCTCCAAAACTCACAGGTTGCACATATTTAGAGACAAGTCATCCAAAAAACTAGAACTTTAATCAGTTACAACACAGTAGAATTTGCAACTGTTGTAATGCTAGATTATTTTTGTGTGTGGGTGTGTGGTTTGGTATTATCAGATAACCCAAATCTAGCTTTCCTTTGGTGGCTGGACATTGCAGTTTAACAGATGGGTTAGAGTTAACAGCTAACAGTCTAACAGCCAAGTTAAATTTTTTTCATATGTGTAGGTCTTATATGTATTTTCTTACATTTTTAAATAAGTCAGAAGTGTGACCTAAAACTAGAGATTTCAGTGACAGTTAATCACAGAGGAAGTAGTTCCTAAGGGATAGGAATTTCTGCTGGCTATTTCTAACTTCTTCCACAGGTTATCCTGTAAACTTTGTGATAATAAATTTGGTGATTCCATCCTACCAGTTCCAGACTTCCAAATGAACTTATAAAGTTCATAATTTAACTGGTGTATTAACAACTAAGCCCTTCTGTGGGTTAAGTAATTTCATGTACAGTATGTCAAACAAAAAATTGTGTCCAAGAAAGGAACAAATATTCATACAGTTGTATGTACATATTTTACCTTACATACCCAAATTTGGAAGCCTCATTGAGTTCAGTGGGGTTTTATGCAAAAAAAGAAGGTGCATGCACCTGAAACCAGTTGTAGGAAAGTGGGTCTTAATGTGAAAGCTCTTTCCTTATAGTTTAGGTGCTGCAGGTTACTTTAAATTCTTATATTATGTAAAAGATATTTCTGAAAATAAATGAAAAATATTTACCTGCAGAAACCCAAGTTATTTTGTTTCATTTCATTTTATTCTGCCGTACAAATAGTTTTTAATGTCACAGTTACTTCAGAGAGTGGGTAAGATTGAGAGAGAGAGACAGAGAGAGAGAAAAAGAGAGAGAGAGAGAATGTATGTGTGTATCTTTTCAAAGTATCCAACTACAATCCCAAACTCTAATCACCATTTCAGACTAGCTGGATGTTTACAATATAAAATGAATGATACTGAATTAGTAAAAAATATTGACACTTATCTGTCATCATTAGCATTTAGAATCAATACCCTAATTAAACAAATGGGAAGCAAATAACTTATAATGCCGCTTGGCTGAAAAAATGCAGACTCATTCAGGCCTCACAGAGTGAGATCATATTTGGAAGGTTTTCTTGAGCCATAAGAGCTGAAAATGTAATATTTTTAATGGATGGTTATATTTTGCAGAAACTATTAGAGCCATTAATATACTACTGGCATATTGCAGTGTCTAATACTGGCTATGCCCTTTCAACCTGTATGTCTGGAGTCGAGTACTATCTTTTGATAAGAACACTAAAAAAGTGTATGGCTTAGTTAGCCATAATCTTAACATTCTAACTTGTCTAAATGTTTCAGCAACTCGTAGAAACAGTATCATGTGGGGGAAATCTCCTGATGAATATTGGACCCACCCATGATGGTCGCATAGATCTTATATTTCAAGAACGCCTAAGGCAGATGGGTGTCTGGCTGGAAGTCAATGGAGAAGCCATTTATGGAACTAAACCATGGAGAACTCAGAATGATACGGTCACACCAGGAGTGTGGTAAGACTAGATTGAAAAAATATAATTACTGAGACTATGTGAAATTGCCCAATTTCTATTGGATAAGTGTTTACAGTAAAGAAACCACCATCTTAATTTGTATGCTATTTTGCTGCCTCAGAAAAAAACCCTTTTGGAAAGACAAGGTAGGTGCTTACAGGAAGATATATATACTTGACATTAGTAAAGTTGATGCATCATAATGATTGGGGGGAGGGAACTGGGAGACAAGAGGGTGCCTACTTGCAATGCCGACTGAAATAAAGGCTAGATGTGTGGCCTTGGCCTGCTTATGCCTCCCAGCCAGAGTAGTTGCAAAACTTAAGCAACTTTAATCAATAGTAGGATGGCTACGACCCCTGTCAAATTAAGTATGATGGATAGATTGTTTGGTGTAAGATAACACTAATGTCATTTCTGGTGAAATCATCCATCAGACTCACTCCTTTCTAGTCTCCGGACCCTGTTCTATCCCACAACTTCTATATCTTTGCTGTGTCAGTAATCCACAAGCATACCTATCTGCACTTTGACCCTCCCCATTCCTCATCCCTCATGTACTCCTGTCCCCAGCACAGTCTATTAAATATAAACATTTCTAGAAACAATATAAAGCTGGAAGTAAAACTTATGAGAAATATTAATATGTAAGGAGAGAGAGAAATGTTTCAAATAGTTGCACAATTGTTTGGTAGAGAATAAATTGTACTTGGAAAAAAGTTCTTCTTGAATCCAGACTCTTTAGTAGGAGTGTTGCAGGGTGAGGACTGTATTGCTGTAGTTCTGATCCAAACAGTTCTTGGGTTTGTGTACCCAGTTGTTACCAGTTTTTAAAATTCATTTTCAGTCATGAAATCTTTACATGTGCATTTCTCCTAAATGTTCACACACTTACAAGAAAAACTGACTCCCCATTTCCAACCAGGTACACGTTCAAACCTAAAGAAGACACAGTCTATGCTATTTTCCTTAATTGGCCAATCTCAGGAACTCTAATACTTGGTGCCCCCAAGACCATTGTTGGAGAGACCCAAGTAAGTGACCACTGTTTGGCCTTTATTTTTTTTCTACTTCTGTGAGATTTCTAACATGTTATCTTTGAAATAAAGAAATATATTTATAATTTCTGGTTGACCTTATCTTAAAATATACAGTCCAATGTGAACATTTTTGTTTTCAAATAGAAATATATCTTTGTTGATCTATAAGAATAGAATATGCTGAAAAAAGGGAAATCCTGTCTTACCTGTTAACTTGCAGTCTAGAAGCCTCTATGTCAGAATTGTAACAGGTGGTTTTCTTACTCCATGAGAACTGGGGGCCAAGCAGATCTTTGCTTTGAGCCTGGGCTTAGGACCACCCTTTAGGAAGGACTCCCTAGCCTAGATAATAGCTTCCAAAGCTGAAAACTGCTACTTACCCCGAAGTGTAAACATGCTGTTCAGTTTAAACCACTGGTAGCAAAATCTTGACATGAAACTTAGAGATTTTCTGAGAACCAAGACCTGTGGGCTAAAGAGAAGGTAAGAGTAACCACCATGGCCTGTGCCCTTTTACTCTCTGAACCTTCAAACACTTAATATTCAAACACTTAGCTTGCAGCAGGCTGAGGTGTAAATTTATGTCACATTTGCCTGCTTCACATTATGTTTCTGTGTAGACCCTACTGCCATACTTAAAAAGTTTCCTAGTGTGCTTTAATCGAGGCCCACTTCAAAGCAGGCAGATTGAATTCCCTATGACACTTTCTTTTAGTGCCTGGCATGCTAGTGCAACATAGATTTACACCCCCGTGTCCTGCAAACGAGGGTTTGTATCAACAGACGCTCAGTGGCTGGGAGAGGATTGGCATAAAGGGAGTCCACTTCTGACATAAGGGAGTCTCTTTCTCAGAAACAAAAGACAGGACTATGCAGCACTTTAAAGACTAACAAGATAGTTTATTAGGTGATGAGCTTTCGTGGGCCAGACCCACTTCCTCAGATCAATATGTGGAGGAAAATCGGCATGACCATATATATCAAAGTGATACAATTAAAAAAAAAAGAACGCATGTGAAATTGACAAATCAAATTTTACAACAGAGTGGGGGTGAGAGGGGAAGGTTAGTGTCTGTGAGGTAATGACATAGGGGTGATAATAGGGGAAGCTATCTTTGTAATGGATGAGATAATTAGAGTCTTTGTTTAAACCCATACATAAAGTGTCAAATTTAAGCATGAATGACAATTCTGAAGCTTGTTGAAGTCTGGAGTTAAAGTCTCTTTGAAGCAATATGCATGTTTTAAGGTCATTGAGGGAATGGTCAGTCTGGCTGAAATGGCAAGCAACAGTTTTCTTTCTGTGAGAGAGTCTTATGTCTCTTTTGTGTGCATTGATTCTTTGGCGAAGTGTCTGAGATGTTTGTCCAATGTACATAGCAGACGGACACTTTAGGCACATGATGGCATAAATTATATTTCTGGATGAACAGGAATATGTGTTCTTAATCTTGTAAGCGGCATGGTTAGGTACAATAATGGTGTCAACAGAATAAATATGTGGACAAAGCTGGCAAGGGAAAGTTCCAGGGTTAGTATTAGTGTGGTAAGAATCATCCTGAGGTTAGGTGGTTGTCTATAGAAGACTATGGGTCTGTCTCCCAGAGCCTCTCAGAGTGTAGTATCCTGTTCCAGTATAGGCTGTTGTTTATTGATAATGCGTTGGACAGGTATAAGTTGGGGGCTATAGGTGATGACAAGTGATGTTCTATTGTTGGTTTTCCTGGGTCTGTCTTGAAGTAGATGGTTTCTGGGTATTCATCTGTCTCTTTCAATTTGTTTTTTTATTTCTCCGGGTGGGAATTCAGCTAGACCAGACTAACACGGCTGCATCTCTGTCTCTTTCTCAGGTTTCTCATGTTTTTTCAAACTGATCATGGATGCAAACAGGTTCATCAATAGGCTTCCAACTAGGTCTGTGATGCCCTGAGGGCTGGACAGTGTGTTCTCCTGGCTCTCAGTGTTTTACTGAACCAGCTGACCCTGACTGTCCTCCTTGGTATTGGGTCCTGAGAAACATAAGGATGGGAGTATAATTTAGGGCAAGAGGTAATTCCTCCATAGTTAACTGATGTGTGTGTTATACCCTCTGGTGAGTAGCTTTTTTGCTGTTTGCACTAAGGATGTTAAATATTGGTTCATTTACTAGTCAAGGAGTTGATGGAATTTCCATTGACTAATCGACTAGTTGATAGGCACTTCTGCATTTCTCCTGTGGAATGTACAAGACTCCGGGCTGCATGCAGGTGTGCCAATTTTGAAATCTACATGAGTCGCCACCAGGGGTCTCTTGTGTATTTCAAAGCGGAAGCGCCCTCATGTTGTGCTGCCAATCTGAAATGTCATACGGAGCCCGGGGTCAGCTGTGCACTCCTCAGCTGATCCCAGGTTCCACAGAAATGCTCCCCAGCTGACCCTGCGTTCCGCGCAGCACTGCTGCTTTGAAACACTGAGGCGGCATTTCAAAGGGGCCATGCCGCTGTGCTCAGCTGTGCAGTGCTGCTGCTTTGATGTACCCCTTTTTTCCTCCCCTTTGCTGCCTCTGTCTAAGAGGCAGCGGGAGGAGGGTGGGAGGAACCAACTAGTTGACTGACTATCCGATAAGCATTTGCTTATCAGATAGTCGACTAGTCCTTAACATCCTTAGTTTGCACCACTCTACCCTAATGTGACTTCTTGATATGCCCAATTTTGATCAGCCCTGTTGTCACCTGAATACACAATCCCATAACAGCACCTTTATAAATAAATGAGGATGCTTGGGTTACACGTTCATGCGCTTTCTCTCTCTCTCTCTCTCTCTCTCTCTCACCTACTTTAACACAAATTACAGTTGGCAACTAAGTTACATTATCATAGCACTGAGGAATTTGGCCTGTGCTCCTCAGATGAAAAGCTAGGAATAGGAAGAATTTAAAATGAATAGCTCATTCTTAGTTTTGCATTCCTAATCCTTATTCATATCAGCACTATAGTAATACCTAGAGGCTCCTACTGACACTGGAGCATTAATGTGCTAGGTATTCTACAAACGAATAAGAGGAGTGCCTCTCCCAAAGAGTTTAGAATCTAAACAAATAAGACTGACAAAATGGGCAAAAAGACATGTTGGCCCCATTTGACAGATGGGGGAACTGAGGCACAGTGAGATTGACCTGCCCAAAATCACAGAAATTGAACCCAAATTACCTGTTCCCTGGTTAGTGCCTTAATAAAAGACCCTCCTTCCTTTATAAATATTAATAACCCTTCAGCTGGTCACAATGTAGTCTCAAAATGTTTGTTCCTCTGACAAGAACAGTTATTTCAAAGTATACTATTTTTAAAAAATTTAATCTGTCAAAATTATACTTACTGTTAACAGGGTATGTACTGGAAATGTCAGTTGTACTAACTCAAACAAATACTCCTGACTTACAGCAGAGTTAATTAGACTAGAATTTATGCCATTCTGTGTACAAGAGTGTAATTTCTAAATAGCTACTTAAGTGGTTCCCCGTCCATCTCCCCCCATAGCCTGCTTTCTAATATGCTTTTTAAATGAAGCAAGTGTATAAAAATCATTGATTTTTTTTTTTTTTTTTTTTTTTTTTGCTGAGCTGAGCTGAGCAGAATGGTTATTTCCATTACAATAAAGTACAATTCAGTTTAAAAGCAGATTCCAGAGTATCATCTTTTTAAAAAACAAACTCCTGCTTCCCCTTAAATACCCAGGTTGGCATCTGACTTCTTCCTGTATGCAAAAAGTAGTGCACGTTTAAGAACGTGTTACATTTTAGGAAAGTTAGTTAACACTGGATAATTGTGTTTGGAACGTCTAAACTTTCATGTCCACCAGGCATGTCAAACTTGAAGCCTACTGAGGGCAGCACAAATGAAAACTGATAGCTGTCAGAGCCACCACAGAAAATGTACTTTATCAGAGTCGTAATTATTTTTTCTTATAGATTATGTTTTAGGTATATTTTACAATTTTTTTCAGGTCGTGTTTTAATATAATACAATAATTTGTGTAAAATTGTTATTTGCTCATATAAAATTTTACATTTAAATATAAATTTAAGGTACTTTTTAATTTTTTATATGATACATAACTTGTTTTTATTTCAACAAAACAAGTTATATACTGTGGTTAATCAAATAGAACACACTTTTGTGAAAATTTCAGATACTTTGTAAGTTTGAGATTTTGCATAAACATAATTATTCATGCAATTGCAAAAACTAACATATATTTATTGATATAAAATTAATATACATTTGTTATTTTGATTTGGGAACAAATAAAACAAAATATTAACAAAATAGCCCCCTCCTCTCCTCCAGAGCCAGGCACTCCCATACCCCCTCTGCTTCCCCAGAGCCAGCCCCCCCCCAACCCAATGTTTCCCCCTCCCCCAGAGCCAGGCACTCCCAGCCCCTCCTAACCTAATAACTGGGTCCCAGAGTCGCTATTGCCACCGCCATGTTTCTTCCTTAGGCACACTGGGATGGCGTGAGTACAGTGGCTGACCATGAACACGTGCTGGGCACTGTGCGCAGAGCGGCCCGGCTGGTCATGAGCATGTGCTGGGGCCCATGCACAGTCACTGTGGTGTAGAGTGGCCTGGCCAGCTGCAATCTGCACTCGGCCATGTGCGTCGAGTGGCCAGTGGGCTGCACTTTATTCCTTTATAAAAAATGTACTGGGGGGGGCTACAAAAAATTTCTAACGGGCCACATGTTGCACACCAAACACCAGTTTGAAATGCCTGATGTACATGCTCTGCTTAAGCAGCTGATCATTGTTTGTGTTTAATCACTTTGCTCTATTTTTGTGTTGGTATTTATTTTAAAAAAAGTATGACAATGAACCGGTTTGTATTGTGAAACCTGGCCCTTCGTAAATCAAAGTTCTTTTAATTCCCCATTGCCATCTGCATATAGAACATAATAACGGTAGTCTGGCCCAAATCACAGAACACAGCATCATTACAATTGTCATCTTATTTACATGAACACCTTAGAAGCATTTGTTTAAAACGTATGGGCATCCTCTAACTATTCATCTGGCTGACCAAGGGTGTGTCTAGACTACAGGATTTTGTCGACAAAAGTCCACTTTTGTCGACAAAACTAAACCTGCGTCCACACTGCCTTTGAGTTATGTCAACATAATGTCGACAAAACTCAGCAGCTTTGTCGACGTATGTAAACCTCATTCTACAAGGAATAACTCCTTTGTCGATGTAGTTCTGTCGACAAAACAGCAGCGTGAACTCAGGGGAAAAGTTATGTTGACATAAAAGGCCTCCAGGGAGAACCCCTGGTGGACACTCCTGCCACAGCTTGCAACTCTATTGTTCCTGCCCGTAGCCATCTTTAAAAGGCACAGGCACCCAGGAGCAGCACTCTGGCAGCAAGCGAGCTCCAGAGCAGACCAGGACTGTACTGCTCAGTTCAGGTCGAGCCATGTCGCAGGGACAAGCCCCTCCAAGACCCCTCTGGCCCTTCCAGGGAATCATCCCCCAGGGAATCCTGGGGCACCAAGCGCCGGGCATCCTCCTTGTCAGGGCTGGAGATAAAAGCCCTCCTGGGCCTCTGGGTTGAGGAGGCCATGCACTCCACAAAGAGACGGAACGCAGACACCTTTGCCCAAATGGCAGAAGAGCTGGCCAAACAAGGCCACCATCCCCGCACACTGGAGGAGGTCCGAGCCAAAGTGAAGGAGCTGAGGCAGGGGTACGTCCAGGCCCGTGAGCACAGCTCCCGCTCCAGGGAAAGGCCGTACTCCTATGAGTACTATGAGGACCTGGACAGGATCCTGGGGGCAGGGGATCCTCTGCCTCCTGAGAGGCTCGTGGAGTCCGGGCTGGAGACCCCGGTTCTACAGCGGCCGGAACACCTGCTGGGGGACCAGAAGCTCCAGGAGGAGGAAGAAGAGGAGGAGGACGGCATCCAGAGCACCCGGGAGCCAGGCACCCAGACACAGGAGGCCTGCCAGACCACCTCGGACACTGGGGAGGGAACATCAGGTGAGTGCTGTGAGGGTCCAACACACACAGGGCAGGGCAGGCGGGAGCAAAGGGGACAGTGCAGTGCTGTGACATGTCATGCTGAGCATGGCCCGGGGGGAAGAAGGGGGCACACACATGGCAGCCCTCAGGGAGTGCCGTGCTACCCCCTGCACCCATACGGCTGCTAGGCACCGCTTGTTCCTGCAGGCAGGGATGCCACATGCAGGCATGGGGTGGAGATGCTGGGATTGCCTCACAGCTGCAGGCCTCTCAGCACTTTGTGGGAACCCCAACTGTGGCCTGACACTAATCCATGCTGCTCCGCCATGGGAGATACGTGAGGGGGGGGCATGACGGTGGCCTGCACACCACCTGGGCTCCAGGGAGGCCGTGGCTGCGGGCCAGGCCGCACCATGCCTTGCTGAGACACACGTGAGCAGCCTCTGACCCTAGCACAGGCACTGCCTGATGAGAAGAAGGAGGGCAGGCCCTCTCAGGGAAAGGGTGAGCATGCATGACTGACGACTTTTCCCTCTTGTCCTCCACAGCCTCAGGGAAAGGGTGAGCATGCATGACGACTTTTCCCTCTTGTTCTCTACAGCCGGACCAGCTGACCAGGAGGGGGGTGCCCCACCTGCCCCACCACCCAGACGGCAACAGGGCACCTGTAGGCACTGGTGCAGCTACTTAGAGCTGGTGCGCCAGCACGTTGGAGTCCTGCAAGAGATAAAGGACTCCATGGAAAGGAGGCTGGAGGCAGAGGCTGAGTGGCACCGGCAGTTGCTGCTTGAATTTGCCCAGCAGCGCAGGGACATCTATGCTGCCATCCGGGAGGCCATGGCCTTCCCCGGTCCTTTACCTGCTTCTGCCCCTCCTCCTCAGCCTTCCCCCTCCTCTGCCCCTGCCATTCCAGCCCCAGCCCCACCTCCTGCCCAGCCCCCTTCTGTGGCATCCCACACGCGCAGCCAGGCGTGACAAGGCCGCCAGAGCCAAAGCAGCAGGAGCTCAACCTCCAGGCAGCCCCCTCCGCCCTGAGCATCCCTCCCCCCTTCCAAGTTCACATTCCCCATTCCCACCAGTGACACAAACTGAGGGACGCATTTTTTTTAAGCACTTTATTTTCTAAAACAGACATTTTTATTTTTCTCTGAATCAAAGAGTTATTTATTTTCATTTGTTAAAAAAACAACAGTTAAATAAAGTGTACTAGAGTTTTCACCATCACCTGTCTCCGTTCTCAGTGAGTGGGGACTGAGTAGAATGGGTGAATGTGGGGCAGGGAGGGGTTGCAGGGAGGAAGGCACCAGGGGTATGGGGCAATCCCACATGCGGAAGGCCCTGGGGACAATCGGGCCTCCCTGTGAGAACTGCTCCCTCAGGGCTTCCTGAATGCGCAGGCCCAGCTGGTGGGCTTGCCAGGTGGCAGCTGTCCGGGGCTGCGCAAACTGCTTCCCCTCCATCTCCATCTGTGTCCTCCACACAGGGAGGAAGGCCTCCCCTTTCCTCTCTACGAGGTTGTGAAGCACATAGCAAACTGCAACCACATCGGGGATGTTGTGTTCCCCCATGTCCAGCCGCATCAGCAGGCACCTAAACCTGCCCTTCAAACGGCCGAAGGCGCACTCCACCTGGAAGCGAGCCCTATTGAGGCGGGAGTTGAACAGTTCCCTGCTCGCATCCAGGTGGCCGGTGTAGGGCTTCATGAGCCAGGGCATGAGAGGGTAGGCCGTGTCGGCCACTATGCATGTAGGCACCTGCACATCCCCGACTGCCAGGTTTCTCTAAGGGAAGAATGCCCCAGTCTGCAGCCTGCGGTACAGGTATGAGTTCCTGAACACACGGGCATCGTGTGCCCAGCCTGATCACCCGACACAAACATCAGTGAACTGTCCCGTGGTCGACCAGAGCCTGCAGCACCATAGAGAAGTAGCCCTTCCTATTGATGTACTGTGCTGCTCGATGGGGCAGGGCACGGATGGGGATGTGGGTCCCGTCCAGTGCTCCACCACAGTTTGGGAACCCCAGTCCCGCAAATCCGTCCAGGATGGCCTGCAGGTCTCCGAGGCAGACGGTCCTGTGGAGCAGCTCAGCGCTGATGGCCATCACCACCTGCGGAATGGGACAAATAGAAACACACAGAACAGGACTTAAGAGGGGTTGACTCACCTGATGAGAAGTGCTCTCCCCTTCCCCCTCCAGACACCAACAGCCCCCCCCCCCAGGAAATCCCTTCCCCACCCCCCCGACCCCTGCACCATGGCAGGGTGAGGCTGAGAGGGCTTCTACCTCTGCCACCCCATCCCCAATTCCCTGTGCCTGGTCCTGACTGCCCCCCTGGACTGTCCCCTGAAAGTGACTTACCTCCATCAAGACGACCCCGACGGTAGACTTCCCCACACCAAACTGATGCCCCGCAGAGCGGTAGCTGTTGGGGGCGGCCAGCTTCCAGAGCACAATGGCGACACGCTTCTCCAGGGGATGGCAGGCTGCAAGTGGGTGTCCTTGTGTTGCATGGCAGGGGCGAGCCAGGTACAGAGCTCCCGGAAGGTGGCCTTCCGCATCCGGAAGTTTCTGAGCCACTGATCGTTGTCCCACTGCTGCAGCACTAGCTGGTCCCACCAGTCCGAACTGGTGTCCAGCCTCCAAACCCGCCTCTCCAGGAAAAAGTTGGGGGGCGAGGGCAGCAGGGCTCAAAGCTGCTCAAAGCTGGGCTCAGGATCTGCTGCCAAGGTCATCATGCTCTCCTGAGCATGAAGCAGAGCTTCCAGCAGCACGGTGTGGGGCCATCACCTGCCCAGGGCAGCTCAGGCTCCATGCCCAAAAAAGCCAAAATAACACACAAACAAAAGAACAAAAGAAACAAACGCACGAACAAAAATACAAACAAATAAACAAAAACCAAAAAAGACAAAACCCAAGCAAACAAACAAGCAAACAAACAAACACAGAAGCAAACACACAAACAAACAGACAAACCAGATAATACACAGCTGTGGTGTCTGACAAAGCAAGGCAACCAGAGGCAGGACAACTGCAGCAGCTTTGCTTTCCCTGTAATGGTTGGCAAGCTAGAAGCAGGAGCAGAGGAACAGCTGTCCAGGAGTATCCCTTTAAGCACGTGTCTCTGCAGAGAGCATGCAGCAGTGCCTGGGCTTTATGGCTGCCCCTGTGTCCTTTCAGAAGCACTTCTGGGTGCCTTCTTCTGTCGAGAGAGCGTCCCGCTTTCTGGACGCTCTTATGTCAACAAAGCTGATTGCTTTGTCGACAAAGCCATGTAGTCTGGATGCTCTATGTCAACATAAGTTTTGTCAACAGATTCTGTCGACAAAACTTATGGCGATGTAAGCCTGTAGTCTAGACATACCCAAAGTAGTGCTTACAATTAATCCATTATGTTAAAATACCTGTTAAAGAATGTTTAACTGTTTGAAAAATGTATGCATATAATCTCTAGGACAAGAGTTGCTTTGAATAGAATGCAATTTGATTTTTTTTTTCAGGTGAAGCTGATTGGCTATGAAGGACAACTGAAGTGGGTTTCACTGGGAGAAGAGGGAATGACTGTGGCTGTACCTCAGTTAACCCCTGATCAGTTACCGTGTCAGTGGGGCTGGACTCTGCAATTGACTACTGTAAACTGAATGATGCAACTGAAGATTTAAGTTGCTGTTTCTAAACATACATTGAGAGCTTCAAATTTCTAACTTGATTGGACTCTTATGCATAGCTGAAATTGGGATTGATGGGAGAAGATTTAATGCAAATACTAGTCCAGATTCACCAGGATGAGGATTTGGCCCTTTCACTTCTAGCATTTAACCTCTAGAGTGGTTAGCTTTAAATGGTGAGGTGGATTTGCAAGATTGCATTGGGTCTTGTTTTAAGCACAATATTAATTTCGGATTTACTGGTTTCAATTCATCTCTTCAAAAAGCTGACCCATAGTACAGCTATCTCAAGCAGCCCATGCCAGCAGGAGCAAATTCTGCAGTGATATAAGTTGATCAAAAAGTGGGCATGCAGGGCAGGCATTAGTTGGAGCACTCAACTTTTTTGAAGGTATTTTATGTACTTTTAAAACACAGAAGATTTTCTTTTCTAATGGAAAGATTAGTTGTTTCCTCTCCATCTTTTCCACTGAAAAAGGAACAATAACATTGATCAAACACTTTTTTTTTGCAAAAAGTTATTGAAAAAAGCCATTTTTTTATTAAAAATAATTTCACGAGAAAATTCTAGCAGCTGCAGTAGCCAACCATGAATAAGTTACACTCAGCCACATTAGAAACACACCCGGAGTCTCCACTTTACTGCAGGTTATTGCTATGAGTATGGTTCATTTTTAAGAACGATGGAGCACTTGTGCAATACATCCTTTCACTATGAAGGCACTCCTAGTGAAGAATATACAATAGAGCAGAAAAGGTATTTCTAGATGTGTCTGGACCTTTGCTGCCTCCTAGAAGCATGAGTGTCCTTTCATCAGCATTGTATCCCCCAATAGTCACTTAACTCACTATGGGTACATCTACACTGCAGGCTTTTTGCGAAAGAACTGCGCAAAAACTTATTGGGTGTCTACACTGCATGCACATTCTTGTGCAAATAAATTTACAGTACAGCGTTGGAAAACAGGGCTTCTTCCGGAAGAGTTATTCCTCTCCCCACGAGGAATAAGCCCTCTTGCGGAAGAGCTCTTCCACAAGAAGGCAGTGTAGACAGGCAACATGAATTTCTTGTGCAAGAAACCCCTATGGCTAAAATGGCCATCAGAGCTATCTTGCACAAGAGAACATCCACACTCCAATGGATGCTCTTGTGCAAAAGCACATCTCTTGCACAAAAGCACATGGCAGTGTGGACACGGTCTTGTGGATGACCTTTTGCACAGGAACTCTTGCACAAAACAGTTCTTGCGCAAGAAGCCTGCAGTGTAGACGTAGCCTTTGTAAGATTGTCATGTAAGATTGTCAGTGCTTTTGCGGAAATACTATGCCGCTCCCGTACGTTTGTGCAAAAGAGCCAGCATAGACAGCGCAGATTTGTTTTCCACAAAAAAGCCCCGATCGCAAAAATGGCGATAGGAGCTTTTTTGCGGAAAAGCGCGTCTAGATTGGCCACGGATGCTTTTCCGCAAAAAGTGCTTGTGTGGAAAAGCATCCTGCCAGTCTAGACACACTTTTCTGAAAATGCTTTTAATGGAAAACTTTTCCATTAAAAGCATTTCCGGAAAATCATGCCAGTGTAGATGTAGCCTTTGTGTTTAGCAGTTCCAGATTTCATTTTTCACAACAGAAGGTGAGTTAATTGACTTAAAGTGCCAAATATTGCTCTAAATAGCAAAATAGAACTCGAGAGGAAACAGTTTAAAAGCCACTCTAACCCTTCCTCCCTTAGCATGTACCATTTATTATGATCCCTTTATCGCCTCCTCCTCAATAGATGTAGAGATTTATAGACTCATAGGCTGCGTCTAAATTGGCAAGTTTTTCCGCAAAAGCAGCTGCTCTTGTGGAAAAACTTGCCAGCTGTCTACACTGGCCGCCTGAATTTCAGCAAGAAATAAAGATATTGAACAAAACCGGTCCTAGAACCGAACCTTGGGGCACTCCACTAGAAACCGACCTCCATCCTGACATCGAACCGTTGATCACTACCCGCTGGGCCCGGCCTTCTAGCCATCTTTCTATCCATCTTACCGTCCATTTATCCAATCCGCATTCCCTTAACTTGCTGGCAAGAATATTGTGGGAGACCGTATCAAAAGCCTTGCTAAAGTCAAGGTATATAACATCCACTGACTTTCCCATGTCCACTGAGCCAGTTACCTCATCATAGAAGCTAATCAGATTGGTCAAGCACGACTTGCCCTTTGTGAATCCATGCTGACTATTCCTGATCACTTTCCTCTCATTCAAGTGTCTCAAAATGGATTCCTTTAGGATCCCTTCCATGATTTTTCCAGGAACCGAGGTAAGACTGACCGGCCTATAGTTCCCTGGATCGTCCTTCTTCCCTTTTTTGAAGATGGGCACTACATTTGCCTTTTTCCAGTCATCCGGGATTTCTAATAAACCATCTTGTTAGTCTTTAAAGTGCTGCATAGTCCTGTCTTTTGTTTCTCCTTAATAAAGATTTCTAGTGATTTCAAATCGCTGCTGATATCTATGTCTCATGCCTTAACTTTTCATTTTCTTGCCAGATGACAGTGGTGTTAATGCCAAAATTCAATACAGGCTATTGCTTTGAGCTGATTCCATGATTTTCCACTTATGGCACTAAGGGCCTGGAATAAATATATATGGAAGACATGCAGCTGGGACTGGTTTACTTTCTTGAGTTACTGGTTCATAATATTTCAGAAAAGGCTTTATTTTCCGAAAGATCCCCATCTAGACTGGCACTTTTTTCCTGCAAAGCCCCGAGCCGGAAAAAAGCGGCAGCCATGTTTATACAAATGAAGCGGAGGGGGGGGGGATTTAAATCCCCGCTTCATTTGCAATTGCGATATGTCTAATTTGCATCCCTTTTACGAAGATGCTCTTCAAGATGCTCTCTATGCCTTTTAGTAGAAGTGTGATTTATCAAGTAATTTGTTTGTGATGACAAGGCCATGTGCAGCTGTGATACCAGAATGGCCCAAATGGCCAATCAAAATCCATCTTTGGACAATCAATATTTGCTGCCCTACTCTTAACAGGACTGTGGAATTTAACATGGTATAAGTGCAGAGACAGAACTCTAAATCAAGAAACAGATTAAATTGGATGTTCTCACAGCCCTCAAAAGAATCAAAGTCCATTACAACTTATTTTGTCAAAGACATTTGCAAAGAAGTTTCAGGGCTATACTTCATTTCCTGAAAGTTAGTACAGCTGTAGCGTCTATCTTCAGAAATATTAATCTCTATTCCACTGTGTATCCTACCTAGGCAACAAGCCTGCAAAGAGTTATGCACATCCATGGTGTTACATACTGAGTAGTTGCCCTGATTTGAATAGGATTGCCCACTGGTATCATTATGTAATAGTGTAGTCGATTAACCAATAAGCAAAAGCTTACAAGTTAATGCTATAGACTACATGCATTCCCCATCCACCCTCCCACCAGTAAAAGCAGGCTGGGATGGAAGTATCCATTCTTGCTTTACATAGCCCGGTAGAACCTTAGAGACTGTAAACCATACAGCAACTAGCCCTTAGCTTTAATCCATGCACTTGAGCTGGGAAACTACTAAGTGGTAAACAAGTTTGACCTGCGTGTCAGCTCATGAGAATGTTGAGTAGCATTGAGCCAGTACACGCGCACCCCGTTAACAACTGGGATATAATTAGCATAGGGAGTCTCACCAGGAACCTAGACCTCAGAGGGTGCCCTGGATTCCCCCAGCTGGAACCATGTCCACTGCAGCCCTGGTACAAGGTAACAGGAATAGGACTCCCCACAGATTGAAGGGACGTAAGTATTTCTGCTGCCTAAAATTTAGGAGATTGTGAATAGGACTAGGCCTGAGGAGTAGGGGTTTTTTGTTTGTTCTGTGCTAGTTTCTGCAGGAAACTAATGAAAATAAATGCAAGACTACTATAATGTAGATACATTTATTTTAATATGTAAAGTTTTTAAGTGGTGGTCAGTTTAGATAAGACATTCTTTTATTTAGGTCGGTAAAGTTATTGCACACACATTTTACATTAAAATTCTTTATTGCAATACAGACAGTGTACTGGGATCAATTAATACAAAGTATGATAAAATATTTACAAACAAATGTGTACAGCGATAGCTGTTCATCAACAGCATAAACACAAGAGACCCTCTAAAAATCAATGTATTTTAAGTCTTCAGCAGAAGGCAAGCACCCAGAACTTTGGTCAGGCACCTGCATCACTTGGCAGAGAACTTTATTTTCACCTTTGAAATATTAAATCCGTTAGGATGGCATTTGTAGTACTGAGGAAAGAAGGATCTTTTTAAATCTGTGGGGAAGGGAGAGATGCGCCTGATTTCACCCAGCTTACTAACTGTTGCAGTTTCTAGAGTTTTATGTAGAGATTATTTCTTCCAAATTCACCACATCGGAAGCAAGTCAGTTTTAACTGTAGATATCTTAATATTGGCCTTTTGTATACAATAAAAGTAGTTCTAAATTAGTTAAACAGAGATCAAACCTTCAAAACAGTCTTAGTGAACAGTGATTCTTCCAACAAGAACAAGTTTTTAATCAGGTGTTGTAAGCAGGATTCTATAATATAAAAAACAAAACCAGGAAAATACTTGAGAATTTCAAGAAGTGTATTCTTTCTGACAGACTAGTAATCCTACCCCATTAGGAAATTAACCAAAATCCTTAAATTCCTACCAGGTATTCACAAGGGATGTACTATATAAATACATGATCTGTCTCTTCTGATGCACAGTTCACTTCTCTAATTGTTGAGGAGTACTAAATGCTTCATACACATTAGCAGCAAAGTCTTTCATTTGTTCCATCATCAACAGGTCCTGGAAGAAGATGGAAGCAAAAATAACTAGTTTAAGAAGCATCATCACCACACTTTACTTGCTGAAGTTAAACATGAAAGAGACCGATTCAGAAAGTACTGAGTTGTTACCTCAAATATAAAAGTTTCTAAAGTATGAAAACAAAAATTGTGATCTGAAACACCAAAGCAGTCTGATCAAGAGATCATTCTACATTTCCTCATTTACCACCATCCTTCCCTTCCCCTCTGCTGACAATAGCAGATGGCTAGGAGGAGAGATGGGATTTTTTTTTTTTTGCCTCCAACTCTTAAGTGGCACCAGCTGTTCCCACTTCTTAAAAGAAACGAAGTAAAACTCATCATTGGGCAATATAGTCATGCTATAAAATATTCATTGATAAATGCAACATTAACAGACGTGGGATATTTTTAAGATACTAAGTACAAAGGCTTCTTACCTGAACAAAGTGACTAGGGGTTTCACTGCACACTGAATGGACCTGTCCATTTATGATGGGTATTATCTTTGCCAAAGGAAGACTGACACTGGAGAGACTAGAAGAACAAAAACACATACAAGGTAAGCCTAAGGCTCTCTTTTATATTACAAAAACTATATATAAACTCTTTGGGATTATTAGAATTCTGAAGAAGATCCTTCCATCTCTTTTAGTGTTAAAAGAGTACATTTCAGATTTGCATTGTGTGTACTGTTAAGTGTATTTATTTGTTCTTTATCAATTTTTTGTTAAAGCACACATACAGAGGACAACCACAATGAACAACAACTGATCTGTTGGTAACTGTATTCCATTCAATACGGGTGTGTCACATACGGCAAGAACTATAGTTCAACCAAAGTTTGTACCATCACTAGCTGTTGGGGACGTTAAATTCCGATTAACCAGCTAATCTAGTCATTGATGGAAATGAGTAGTCAATGGACTACTCGATTAGTCAAGGGGCGGAGGGAGCATTTGCTATTTCTGCTGCACCTCTGCCTTTGTCATGTAGTAAGAGAGCCAGAACCCCCCACTGGATGTTGAAGCAGTCCCCGCTCACGCAGAGTCCCGACTGCTGCGCCTCTGCCTTTGAAATGTAGCAAGAGCTGCCTGTGGCTCTTGCTACATTTCAAAGGCAGAGGCACAGCAGTCAGGACCAGGCAAGGGAGGGTGGGGGGACTGTGTCAACAAGAACTCTAAAGTTCTAGATTTAACTGTAACTAGCTGTGTGGTACCTTACTCAAGTCATGTCTTATATTTCTGTTTTCTTATCTGTAAAATGGCAATGCTAGTACTTCAAGGATGAAAATAAGCAAGTAAAATCCATGTTGGTTTATTAATTCTTCTCCTCACCAGTTACTTCCATTATACAGGGGCCATGAAATCTATAATCATTTGCAGAGTTTACTGTAACATCAAAAGAACAATTAAGACAGACAACACATAAAATACCAAAGTAATATTTACCTATTTATAGAGCCACTCTGACATACGTCCTGTTCAGTAGGTCTAAAGAATTCTGCCATATTGTCCAATAGTCGACTGAATCCTCTGTTTAAACATGTGCTCAAAACTGTACTAAAATCTGGGCTGTAAAAAAAAAAAAAAAGTTGTTAAAAATTCCAGTCTCGTTCCTAATATGTAGTTCTTCACATTTTAAAAATACACTTGTAAACACCCCTCAAGCAATATGGGTGCCTATCTCAAACTGAAGGTTACAACATAGGCAAAAGACTGCTCATAAATATATCTTCCTCAGCCCACCAAACAGATGGCCTTTGTAGCACATCTAGAAGATTAACAAGTTTGGGTTCTTACAAACCCAGGTTACAAAAAAGTCACAGAACACCTTGTTCTTTCATACTTCTGTTGAGGGACTTCCACCTTGAATACCACTGCTGTTCTCAGTTGTGGAAGTATACCAGAGAGAGAATAACCAAATCCTAAATATTTAGGGTTATATAGGTTATAACCAGCGTATTGAACTTCACCTGGAGCTGAATAAAATCCAGGGCAAACCAAATATTTCTTAAGTATTTATCACTAGTGTATCAGAACTAGCACTTCAGTAATTATTTTTACTTCGTGCTTCGATACCGTGTTAATGGGCACAGCAAAATTCACGTTCAATGTCTGGCAATATTTTCAATTCAAACCCCCTCAGTTTTTATAACTCCCTTGTAAAAGAAAAACGTTTAATGCACTGCTAAAACCCTGCATAAACAGGTGTCAATTGGAACCCATTTCAAAATGGAATCTTAGAAAGAAAAGTAAGCCCAAATTTCCTCATTTTTACATAAGTGCAAGAACAGAGGAAAACCACTGATTTCAGTGAAAAAACTTTGGATTTACACTGTTCTAATAGAGAGAAGTTGGCCTAAGTTATTGTAAAACCACAGAAAATGGGTGGGTGGGTGGGGGGGGGAGATCTCCTGTCAGTTTGCCACCACGAGATTACTTCTTACAAGTCTTTTTCCTAGTGATGTATCTGGTAATGTTCATAGTGATTAATCAGAATTGTATAGTTTTTAAAAGATTGTGTGGTTTTTCAAATAACAGTATTCAAATTCTACTAAATTTTGAGCAATTTCCTTAGGCACTTTTGAAAATGGTAGTCTAAAAGTCTTTAGTTCATTAATTTTAATATTATGTTAATAGTTTAATAATGGTCCTGTATTAAGGGGAACAATCACCACCATAAGTACATACACGTACATTACAATTTTATGGTAAAGATTTTAACGTTAATACAGATTACAGCATAGATTCTCGCTATACCTTTCCAACATATCTCTGGTTTCATTAAGTAATTTAATAGTAGCAACATCTCTTTCTGTAAGTCCACAAGCCTAGAAAAAAAGCAAACAGAACATCCAACTTAATATGAACTCCATTAGCAACTTGAATACAAATAGTAGATTACATATATAATGGTCAGTTTTTTAAATCAGTGTTGCAGGACCATATTGGTAATACACATGAACCTAGTGTTCATTTCAGGAAATTGATTAAATGAGAGAGACCCAGAGTCTGCTTGGTACCAACCTGCAGAGGACACAGGGGTGCAAAGTACTTTGCAGGGATCCCGTGTGACAGAAATTTATATAATAGTTGACTGATGGATGGCATGAGAGACCTCTAATGAGAGCCAGCAGTAGCCTACTGGTTGTCATAATCACTGCAAAATGTAGGTACAACTATTTAAGGAGCTATGTAGCTATACTGAACATTTTGCAATGTCTTGGAATTATGGCAGGTCACCCAAAGGTGGCATACCTCAAAAATGTTCCTTTCAGGCAAGACAACTTATCTCCCTGGCCATTTGTGTTTTGTGCATTATATGTCTATATGCATACAGTATGCAGCATACTGAATCAGATGCCGACTGAGGGACTCTAAAATCCAGTTTATGAATAAAGACAAAGATATATTTGTTCTAGTGGATCTTGGAGTCCAAGGAATCTTACTGAATCCTTCATATAGAATATAAACTGATAGTGTGCTTGTCTCATGAAATGTGTTTTAGCCAGCCTGGCTGGAAAGTGCTATCAAGATTTTTGTGAGAGCAATAGGGATGTAAGGGATGCAAAAGCTTATTGGATAGTTGAGTAGTGACTCGATTAGTCGCTTCCCCCCCCCTTGCTGCCTCTACCAGAGGCAGCAAGAGGGAGAAAGCCAGTGCTAGGGGAGCCAGCTTAAAAGCTGGTTCTCCCCAGCAACGTCTCCATGGGGCACAGGGGGGAAATGGCATGAGGAGGGACTGAAGCAGGGGTTCTTGCTACATTTCAGGCTGAAGCGCCACAGTAGGAACATAGGGTGAGTGGGAACTGCTTAAGGCAGCAAGGGGGGTACACGAGCCGGTGCTGGGGAGAGCTGGCTTAAAAGCTGGTTCCCCCCAGTACTGTCTCTAGGGTGCCACCTGCCCCCCACTGCCTCTGTCAGGGGGATAGGGAAGACTGCTGCGAAGCAGACCCTGTCCGCAGGGGTGCCAGCAGGGAGCTAATACAATTTGTATCGACTATACAATTAGCTCAGTAATCGCAATTTAACATCCTTAGGGTATGTCTACACTCCCCTCCTAGTTCGAACTAGGAGGGTAATGTATGCATACCGCACTTGCTAATGAAGCCCGGGATTTGAATTTCCCGGGCTTCATTAGCATAAGCGGGGAGCCGCCATTTTTAAATCCCCGCTGCTTCGAACCCCGTGTAGCGCGGCTACACGGGGCTCGAACTAGGTAGTTCGGACTAGGGTCCTATTCCGACCTACCGTTACTCCTCGTGAAACGAGGAGTACCGGTAGTTCGGAATAGGCACCCTAGTCCGAACTACCTAGTTCGAGCCCCGTGTAGCCGCGCTACACGGGGTTCGAAGCAGCGGGGATTTAAAAATGGCGGCTCCCCGCTTATGCTAATGAAGCCCGGGAAATTCAAATCCCGGGCTTCATTAGCAAGTGCGGTATGCATACATTACCCCGCTAGTTCGAACTAGCGGGGTAGTGTAGACATACCCAGAGTGAGCAATACTTTATTAGACACAAAAATCTTCTTAAAGTCTAGGTACTAGAATGCATGTTATGATTTTATTTTATATGTTTGTTTCCAACACTACTGCTTCCTGCTCCTGGACTCTGCTTCATTAAATAAACTTATACAGTAGAACTGGAAACATGCAGTAGGAGAGACAAAACAAAACTGTGTTTAAAAAAAAAAGTATAATATAAAAAAGATTTGACAAGGAAAACTGTTTTTGTACTTGTTTAATTTAAATTAGTTAAATGTTCAGTTGTAAACTTTCCAAAGAACCACCATAACATTTTGTTCATAATTACAAACCACTTCAATTCCTAAGGTGCTTATGATTGAAAGGTTCTACAATATTCGATTTCATTATAAAGATACCTGAGTGCTTGCTGTGTGTAAAACAGAACAGTAATCTGAGGTGAAGTGATAAGTTGAAATGTACTGTTTCTTTGAAAGAAGCAGTAGATTTGCAAATACCAAGAATGCTAAGAAGAGGGTATTTCACTAATCATGTGTTGACAGAATTTTTATGGACTACACGATTAGTTGCTAAGGGAAGACGCTCAGTCCTGGCTCACGCCGGTCTGGGAGCTACCCCTGCTATGGCTGTGCAGTTTAAATGTAGCCTGCCCTCCTGGCTCTTTCTACATTTAAACTGAAGAGCAGCAGGGGTAGGTCCCGGATGTGGTGCGAGCAGCCTCTCCTACTCCCCCTGCTCTGATAGAGGCAGCAGCATGGAAGGGAGGATGGGGGAGGCAACGGCACACAAAGATGGTGCTTTTAAGCCAGTTCCCCCCAACCCCAGCTCCTGCTTCCCTGGCCCTCTGCTGCCTCTGATACAGAGGCAGCAAAGGTGGGGGGGACATGCAAGGAGTCGACTCAACCAACCGATAAGCCTAAACGTATCAATTAGTTGACTACTCACTTAAATCCTTAGCAAATACTACACGTATCTGGTAGACCAGAGGCTGGATACTCCAAGGAGATACTGAGAGATATTGGAGATTAAGGTATGACAACTGCTAATCTGTAGAGACTGACAGTGAGGCCAACAGAATGCCAGATGAAGAGCTTGTGTTGTCAATGGTCAGTGGAATTTGGGAAATGAGCCATGGCAAACACAGGCAAGGCTTCCTCACACTAAAGGTAGGCAGCCTCTCAGTGCACATCACATGAGTAATCAAAAATAAGGATTAAAACGTAACAACAACAGGAAAAGGGGAAAGAAGTCAAGCCAAAAATGTGATAAAATAAAACCATTGTAACAAATGCCCAACTGGAAACCAAGTTTTAAATCATGATTATCAAGTCTCTATAATGTGTGTGCAGAAGCGCTCGCTAATTTTATCACTGCTGGGTTTTTTCACTGAGAAATAAGAGTAATGTTGCAAGATACTCTGTACTTTTTAGTCCTCTAAAATTGAAATAATTCAATACATTTATATTTAGTCATCTAACATAACATGAGTATCTGATTGCCCACTCTGGGGAAAATTCATTCCTTAAAACTACTTTTATATCAAGTAAAGGACTAAATATTCTTTCAGTGTGAGATGTGAATTGGTATGTAACTATGATGCTTGCAAACTTCAGGAAGCTTGGAAAATTGTTTTAATGAAACAACTGATTGCCATCAAAGTTTTCGTCTTCTCTCTAAACCTTGTTTCTCCAGGATGGAGGATGAAACTGACAGAATAAAAAGCAATTCTGTTTCAGCTCTGGAGCAGCTACTGCTGGTCCATAAATTATTTTGCCTAAATTAAAGAAACCAGGACACTGGACTTAATTTGATGTAAGTGATGTTAGCTCTCATCAAGAGTACAGTTACCATGCTACAACAATAATGTGGTGCACAAAACAGAACAAAAATAATGCACATAAAATTAAACAACTACCTGGGTGGCTAATGGGTTTTCTTCATCTGGCATCATATAATGACACAACAGAGATCTAGATCCAGTCTTATCTGAGTGGGATGAGTCAGTATTCTGTTCTACCAATGTTCTGATTTCTTTAAGTTTTTGCTCCAACTCCAAAAGAGACAGAGCGTGTTTAAGAGAAATACTGGAAAGAAAGGACTCAGATGTTAACAACATGGATTTCATTTATTTGCTCATGACAAAATTATATTCAGACAACCCCCACCAGTATTCCCTATAAGCTGAGTGCTTGGGCGGTCACCCAAGAGAGATTCACATGCCAACCAACTGATTAAAAGAACACCTACAGGTTGCAGCATGTGTTCCTACTGGTGGTGCATACCTGCACATGTGTCAGTGCATGTAAACTACCGTATTCAACATGTGGATAGAAAAAATTAGAGAGAACATTGACCATCACTATTTTCAGATATTGATCACCTCAGAAATCTGTTGCAACAAGCTATGTCTTCCAGTGCACATTAATAGTTAGGATCTAGAAAAGCGCATTTATTTACAAATCAAAGTTTCCTCATGTTAATATTTCTGAGAACACTCCCGTATTAGAAGGCTTTCCCTTCACCCTCTCTCTCGGTTTTTGTCATGCAGACAGAAAGTAGAAGACCAGAAGTCTGAAATGCAGTCTGAAATGCAGGGTTAGTTTCCAAGCAAGCATATTCCTGAAGCCCTTCACTCCAGTTGGGCGTAACTCTGTATACTGATAGAATTTTACTCTTCCCCTCCCCCATCTACAGTTTTATACACCAATAGAACCCCTTCTTCTCCTAATCCCTGGGTCCAATGGAGCACTCTCTTCCCAGGGTTCTGTTCTCAGCTGATGCCACAGAGCATTTCCCTGTGTCTCCCCCTTACCTTGCCTGTGTTCCTGTTCCTCATTCCCCTATTACCAGTCCCCCAGTCTGCCATTACCATTTCCCTTCCCACTCCCTTCTTGGCAGATCCAAATATACCTGCTGTGCATGCCCCGAATCTCACCACTTAAAATGTTTGGTCATGTTCTGTTTTGAAGGGGAAAGGAGTGAAGATATACTCCAATCAGGGGTAGGCATTTCTCTGATCTTTCAGTGCTTTACCTCCCCACCCCATTGCTCTTTGTCCTTCAACATCGCTTGACCTTATTTTGAGATAAGGAGTTGAGGCTGTTTTCAAGTGTGGGCTCATATATACTCTCATCATACCCTGTAACACTTTTAGCTCTATCCCCGATCTGTGTCGTTGTGCTGAAAGCCCCATCTTGTTGTGGGAAATGTAACATGCAGAATCTTTATCTTTTATTCTTCACACATATTAGTATCAAACCAAAATTTTCTCTCATGCTAACAAACAGGCTTATATGCTAACACCTCCTCCAGACACACTATTTAGAAGCTATCAACATGGAAAAGATGGGAAAAAAGTAACTTTTACCTTCCAAAAATTTTCTGCACAGCTTGTTTAACTACAGTTATTAATGCAGTCAGACCTATGAACAAAAAAAAAAAAGGCATAAAAAATTATTCAAGTCTCATTTGTTGAAATATTGAATACAATGGCATGATATAAAAATAGTAAGTTCAGAATTATCATACCATCACCTAGAAGGTGTTGAATACTTGATAAATATTGCTGTTGGACTTCAGGTGGTGCAAGAGGTGTCTGTATTAATAAATAAATAAATAAATAAATGAATAAAATCAACAATTTAATGATGTACCAGCCACTAGTATAGATTAATGCAAGAGTCTTCTTCCTTTGTTTCACACAGGTTGTAGTCACTCTGGATGTAGACTTTCCTCTCCCAAATCCTTCTAATGCTATGTGGGGACTTTCCCAGATCCTTCTAATATGCCTATTCTGCCTCACTGATAAAGCACCACCTTTCTTCCAGACCTCAGTAGTTTCACAGTATGGAACAGGATAGGACAAAGACTTCCTCAAAGAAAATTAGGGAAAAGGAGCTAAAAATGTCTTTTGCGGCACATCCATTCTTCAGCAGCAGCATTCTGCTTATCCTTCCTCTCCCAGCTTTGCCACACACAAGCCTGGGCAAAAGATGAGAGCACCTAATCTAAATCAGCAACCTCTGTCTCACCGGGAATTCTGAGGAAAAGCCAGACTGCTCCCAGGTATCCTAGGACACTCAAGAAGAGAACCACCAGAAGAAATCAAGGCTCAAACAAGAGCTGGCAAGTTGATACATGGGAGGTGGGAAAAAAAATCAGTCTCTCTCAGGACAGTCCCCCTTCTCCAGTAAAAAGGAGACCCTTTATTCAGGCTATGGCTTCTGCTTTCCTCCATCCTAAAGGATCTTTTTACCTCTCTTTCAAAAAGAACTTTTTGGAGGTGAGCTCCCTGATTCTTGCCCTCCACTGTATTGCAGAGACCTCTCCTTCATACCTAATGGCAGGAAAAACCTCTTCTCTCATTCACCTTTTGCTCAGATAGGAAGTCTCCTGAAGAGGACAATCCAGAGTTGGAACCAGTGACCTCTCCACTTGTCTGCTCCTCAGAAAAACGACTCTGAAGGAATGGGATAATATCAACTCAAGTCTCACAAAAGCCTTAAAACTTGCTGTGGTGAAACAGAAATTCTCAGGATATGAGGCAGAGGCTATATACTTCACACCTAGGCAACCTCTCAGGTTGAATCCTGCCAATTTATGCCACTACTGGGAAGATGGCAGAAACGAAGTATCTCTCCTTTTACACTCATCCTCCTCAGATTTTACCAACTGGATCTTGACTTCCACCACAGGGCTGTATTTTACTGGGAAGTGGATTCTCCTAAGCCCCCTCTGGAAAGGAAGGTGGAGGAGCTGTTAACAATACAGAGGACCACTCAGATAACTATAAATGCCCACTAGGGATGCGAAAGGTTAACCAGTAATGCTACCCATTAACTGGAAGCAGTAAGCCAGTGGGAACTAGAACAGCTCCCTGCCCGCTGTGGGCAGGGGGCTGCTCCAGCCCTGTAGGGGGCCCACCATGGACAGGGGCTGCTCTTGTCCATAGCAGCTCCTGTCTGCAGTGGACTCAGGCGCCACACAGGAAGGGACTGCTCTGACATCTGCAGCAGCCTCTGTCTGCAGGTAATCCGAGTTCCCTGCAGTCAGGAGCTGCTCCTGTATCTGATACAGACACAGGCTGCTCTGGCGGGGGCTGGGAGCCACAGGGTCTGGGGGCCAGCAGAGCCATCCCCAGCGCCGGGCTGGGGGCAGGAGCTCCATAGGTTAAGGGCTGCTCCAGCTGAATTTGAGTTGTCCCCAGCCCAAATCATGCTTTAGTTGGTTAACCAGCTAACTATTAGGTTTAACCAACAGTTTAACTGATTAACTGGGATTTTACATTCCTAATGCCAACATCTCATGCTTTTAAAGCAGCCATCTAGTAGCTCACAGAGATCTTATTGAACATCCTAGTTAGACTAGTTTGTTCCTGTTGTTGACAGCTATAACATAGAAAAGAAAATGTCTTGTCTTATACTAATTGTTTCCCGTGATCTGGCAACAGCAGTAAAGACATCCAGTCAGGAAGCCTCAAGGTACAACTGGAGTCAAGCAACATGACTAGATTGGGATGTAATTAGCCAATCATAATTTTTCTTCAGTTGTAGGGAACTGTAACTTGGGGGCACCCTGTCTATATACTGGGAGGAACTAGGCATGACAATCCTGCATCTGAATCAACTACCACAGGCTGGTGTCCATTTTCTCATAATGAGATAAGAGAAATTTATAATTATTTGGATCTTTAATAATAAATAACTGTCTCAATTTGCACCTGTGTTGCTAAGAGAGGGTATTAGTTGTGGTTATTAGTCTTTTGTTCAGTCCAGTTTTAAAGGTTTCAAGCAACAGGTCTACCAATGCTTTCATTCCATAGACTAATACATCTCACTGTCAGAAAGGTTTTCACACTCTCAATCCTGGTTTCAGTCTAAGGTTTCCTTTCAATAATTTTATCTCAACATTCCTTGTTATACTTTTTCATCTTTCACTGAATAATTTCTTTCCACAAATAAATACTCACTGTGCCGTTTTTGCAGACTGCTGCATTATCCAGGTAGATGTAGCCACCAATAATATTTAATTGGACTCGCAGAAGAACTACAAGCATACATGTACTATACACAGCTACAATGCTTCTGGTAAAACCTTAAAGAGGGAAAAAATAATAATTTTGAAGTTACCTCACTCAGAGAGCAAAAGGGAGCATTCTCCAGAGCTAGATAAAATTTCTTTTTACAGTCATTTTTTCATGTCATTGCTTTTCTTAGATCACACACCTCAAATAAAGTTCACAATCAAGATGATCTAAATATGCATAATAAAATTCACAATCATTCAATGTAAAGCAACATGCTAAATTACACTATTAAAACAATTTGCAAAAAGAAAAGATACTGCATAAGTTACATGAATTTACTGCTGATCCCTTTTATTGGGCTAATTAAAAATGCAAAATGGGGTGTTGTATTAAAATTTCCAGTCTTCATAAGGCCATGGAAACAGATACAGAACTCTACATTAGATTTCATCATGCAACTCAGACAAAGGCAGCATAACAGCAGCCTGGGAACAAGAAGACGCCTGCTAATTACCTCTGGAAAAGGCTGATATTGGTTAAGAAGGGAAACAGGAGCCAGCATTAGAGCAGCCAGACAATAGCAAGAAGACAGAAGGGTATATGGGGCAACAAGGTAGTAAATCTGCTTGAGTAGCAAGCAATATGAGTGCGAGAAGAAAAGGACTACGAAATGGGGAAGACGACCAGATGGACAAAGTAGCATATATAACAAAGCTGTGGAAGAGAGAGGAACAGAACCAATGGGGGTGAAAGATGAAATCACGAGAAAAAACAGAACAACACATGGTAGCTACAAGTCAGGAAGGGGTATTCAGCCTTGTCCCAAAGATATTTCACTGCACAATTATTCAGCTACGTATATATACTATACCATAACTATGGCATTCTTCCCTTTACCTTTATTCAATTATGTATAAGGGTAACTCTGCCTTTGAACTGTACCAAGAGCCCTGCTGGCTTGCTATAGTTCCAAAGCAGAAGTCCAGTAGGGAGCACAGGGCCAGCTCCCTGTGGCACCTCAACCATTTCAAAAGCAGAATCGCAGCAGAAGCAGCGCATAGACGGTGCTGGGGGGAACTGGCTTTTAAGCCGGCTTCCCCCAGCACCGGCTTCTACTCCCCTACTTGCTATCTCTCTCTGATAGAGGTAGCAAAGGGGGAGGGGGGAGAAGAGGCAACTATTCGCATCACTAGTCGACTATTCATTAAGCTTATGCTTACATCCCTATAACAGATAAGTATACTCTAAAAGAAGGCGGCACAAGATGTATATTTTTTCAGGCTTATTATGCTACAATAACATGTACATAAACATCTGGATTTTGACTTACTTATTATCTTTAAATCCTCCCATATTTCTAACTTGTTTGGTGGCCTGTTGGGAAAGAAATAATGAAAAATATTAAAAACATTAAAAAAGAAACTAGACAATAATTAAAGAAAAATAAAACAGCAGGACTGCAAGGCAAGTTGATATAAATATAATAATTATTTAAATTAAGTTTGTGCTCACATCCAGTTTCTGCTAGTGTGTATATCTTTAAATCCTCCCATATTTCTAACTTGTTTGGTGGCCTGTTGGGAAAGAAATAATGAAAAATATTAAAAACATTAAAAAAGAAACTAGACAATAATTAAAGAAAAATAAAACAGCAGGACTGCAAGGCAAGTTGATATAAATATAATAATTATTTAAATTAAGTTTGTGCTCACATCCAGTTTCTGCTAGTGTGTAGCTCAGAAACTCTATTTTCCCTTCTCTAGACCAGCGTTTCTCAACCTATTTTTATAAAGTACCCCTTTAAAGAAAACCACACAGATAAGTACCCTGTTTAAAAAAATTATAAGTACCCCCAGTACTTACAGTTTCCAGACACACAACATTTTTTTCTACCACAGCAACACATTTGTTTAAACAACTTAATTGTAGCCGGGTGGGTGATGAAATGTTTGGGTGTAAAAAGTACAAATATAATAAAGTGCTGTAAAACTTAAAACAAAAATTCAGTTTTTTCCAAATTTCACTTGTGTTGATGTACCCCCAGACTTCTCTCGAGTACCCCTCAGGGTACTCATACCACTGGTTGAGAAACACTGCTCTAGACTTAGGGTACGTCTAGACTATATGCCTCTGTCGTCAGAGGCATGTAGATTAGGCTACCAGACATAGGAAAATGAAGCGGCGATTGGGATGAGGTATACCTGGCTGGTCGACAAATGCCTTTGATGTCGACACCCGCGCGTCCAGACTATCGCGCTGAGCCGACAAACAGCTGATCAGCTGTTTGTTGGCTCAGCGCAGCAGCCATGTAAATTTAAATGAAGCGGCGATTATTACCTCATCCCAATCGCCGCTTCATTTTCCTATGTCTGGTAGCCTAATCTACATGCCTCTGGCGACAGAGGCATGTAGTCTAGACGTACCCTAAGTGACTGCTCATGGACTGAAGAGGTTTGAGCTGTCTGCCAGAGGAAGCAGTAAGAAAGCATCCTGCATCTCTGGGCAGAACCCAAGGATACATAGCTACTTGAAAAACTCCAGCTTTACATCCAGTCCAGCCAGTTACTTCATTTTATGATCTGTCTCTCCACAAAAAATAAAACCCACAACTCTTCATCCAAGGAAAATGAAATCCAATGCTTCTTCTGCACCAGTGAGCTAAATAATTGATCAGAATATGTCCAAAACTGCATCACAATCCAAAAAGATTATGCATGCTTGGCAAGCTATTGTACAGAATTTCTGATGGTCTTAATATCTGTGACCTGGCTGGCCATCTCTCTGCCCAAGAGATTAGCACTTACATGTTAACATCTGAATTCAGAAATTTAAATAAATAAAAAAAATCTACCTTGCTATCTGGCCTGCCCTTTCCCATATCCACTACAAGAAGAAAACCAACTCATTTGCCAATGTCTCAGAGCTCATTTACACTTTGACATGCAAGCTTATCAAAATATTATCCTATAAGATAAAACAGATAAATTCTGACACAAGAATATAAATTACAGTGTATGATTTCAGCTACTGTGGCTGTCTGCCTTAAAGCCAAGACACCCAGTGTTAAAGCCAAACTAATTTTGCTGATTATTTCAGGACATAAACCAGACTGATTGCAGAGAACATTTTCTTCAATATGTGTAATTAAGGTAAAGTAAATATATTTTCAATTTAAAATCATGGTTTATTGTGACAAAATTATTGATTTGACATACTGTATAACATATCAGCACTGAAATAATGTTGAGTGTTTTTCACTGTTTTTGGTAGCTAACTCTATTACAATTAAGACTCTTTTGGGACATCTACTATAAGTCAATTTCTTGGGGGCTGATAATTTAATGCTATTTAAAATGGTTACGTTGCTTTCTTTTTTAAACTATAGACGACAATGACTGGTTAAGCAGTCATTAAGGCTGAATTATTGATCAAGCCTTTCCAGCTGCTTCACAAAAATTAAATTTGCTGTACTGAGATTTGGTAGCTACATTAATTCTACAAGGAAAGCATTTTAAAAACAAATTTCTGATAGCCATACTTGTCAGAACTGGCTATATGCAATGTAGTTTTTTCCTTCTAGATCAGTGGCTCCACCACAAACCAGATAAGATGTAAAGAAGTCATTGGTACCTGATGGCTATTTAGTAGCCTAAATTAAATGAGTTGGAGATCACAGCCGCAAAAGCCATCACCTTAATTGACAGAGGTGTATCCCTAAAACTGCATTAATCATTAATGTAGAACATGTCCCTACCTGTTCTACTTTAAATTCACTTCTAATAGCTCACTTCTTCCAGATGAGATTACAAGTGGAAAGCTATCTTGCATATTCTTCACAACCACCTGCATACCTGACCTTGATAAGATTACAAAAACATTTTTACAAATTCAGTGTAAGCAGCTCAAAAAGGATACACTATCCTACTTCACAAGGGGCCTGATTCTGTAAGCACTTCTTCTGCAGGAATTCCACATGGTAAGTACTTGTAACAAGGGCACTTAGAAAAAGTGCCATAGGTCAGGATCTTTTCTTCTAATGTTTGTGAAGTGCCATACACATGAAACTACATGTATAAATAATATTTAATGATATAATGAATACTGTAACAGACTGTTGATTCAAGGGTTTAGAGAATCAAAATCTCACATGCTCTTTAAATTGTAAATGTATATCTTCAGGCCAAAACCATGGAAAATTTGTGACTCAAAATCATTTAGCACAGTTTCTAAGAATCTACAAAACTATCTTACCTATTTTTCAGCAAAGATGTGAGGCTCTCAGAATTCAACTGATGCATTAGAGCATCCTTCAGTGTTGGAAGCATTGACAGCACTATCATTAAAAGAAAATGAATTGGTGAACAAAGAAAAGCAGCCAGTCTATGTGTGTCCCCCTCCTCCCTCCAATACTTCAGAATATTCATTTTTGTTTCCTAATTTACAATATACCTAGCAAGTGCATGTGGCTGGATGAAAGGACAAGATATACAAGAGGAGTAGAAAGTATATTATAGCATGACCATAAGATTTACACAAAGTCATTTTAACAGTATATAAAATAACACATATAAATAATATATTTTTTGGTCTATTTACTGATTGGAAACTTCTATTTATGCAGGAAGAAACATACTCTCGCCAACCCACCTAACTGCTCATCTTAGAGCCTGGTCCACTTGTCTAGAAACAACCTTTATATGAGCTCCAGGCAGAGCAGTGGTGGGGAATCTAAGGCCCAGGGGCCGGATGCAGCCCCCGGCATTGGAGAGGCTGCAATTACCACATTTTACAGATAGGAAAATGAGGCAAGATCATAGAGGAAATCGATGGTAGAGCAGGTAATTGAATCCGGGTCACCCAAATCTCAGGCTAGTATCCCAGTCACTTGGGCATCATTCCCTTTTTTAACTGATTCTCAACTGAATATTATACTGTATTACCACACACAAACTACCAAATACATAACTCTTAGGTCTTCAATTATAATAATTTATACTCTAGTAGAACTCAAAATATGTCAGGTACTTTATAGACATAAGAAAACAGTCTCTGCCTCAAAGAGTTATGAATCTGAAAGAAAAACAATGAAGGGAGGTGACAGAACAGAACCCAACGCAAGCCAAGTGCTCAGGATGCCAAAATTTCTTTGTCTTTCTTCAGTAGAGAAGACTAGGAATGTTAAATGTCGATTAATCAGCTAATTCGGTAGTCGATGGGCACTCTGCCGCCCCTTTGCCTTTGAAATGTACAAGAGCGGTCGCAGCTCCTGTACATTTCAAAGGAAGAGGCGCAGCAGGGATGGTCCCTCTTGCATGAGTCCCCCACTGCCATGCCTCTCCCTTTGAAATGTAAAAGAGCTCCGGGAAGCTCTTGTACATTTTGAAGGGAGAGGCGCAGGGTCCCCTGCTGATGAGCCTCTCCAGTTCTTGTACATTTCAAAGGGAGAGGCATGGGGTCCTTCTCACTAGCTGCACCTCTCCCTCTGAAATGTACAAGAGCCACGGGCAGATCTTGTACATTTCAAAGGGAAAGGCGCATGGGGTCCTTCTCACTAGCTGCACCTCTCCCTCTGAAATGTACAAGAGCCACGGGCAGATCTTGTACATTTCAAAGGGAAAGGCGCAGCAGCAGGGGACCCGGGCCAGCGAGGAATGCTTTGGTCCCTGCCAATGCAGGTTCCCTGCTGCACTTCTGCCTCCTCTGAGCCTCTGTGGATACGGTGCTGGGGAGAGCCAGCTTTTAAGCCAGCTCCCCCCAGCATCAGCTTCTGCCTCCCCCCTTGGTGCCTCTGCTGCAGAGGCAGCGGGGGACTACTTTATAAGCCATTGACTAATTGCTTACATTCCTAGAGAAGACAACATTAAGTTTATTTCTAAAGAGAAAAGACTGTACATATCTGTAAAATCTGTTTTATATTTAAACCAAGAAACACATTAAAGGGATTCTGGGGGCAAATTTCCCTTCATCTTAGAAGATCTCAGAGCCAAATTCCTTTCCTGTTAGATGAAAGATAAAATGAAAGACAGACATGCACAGTATATAATAATAATGCATGTAGAAAGAAAAAGATTCAGAAAGATATTACAGTAGACTTCCGATAATCCGGCACCTTTGGGACCTAGGTGGTGCCGGATTATCGGATATGTCAGAGTATCAGGAGGTACTGCATATTCCCAACCCAATCTCCCTCCCCCCCACCCTTATGCTTGGGTCCTCGGAGCCACCAATACAGCTGCGAGTCTCCCTCCAGGAACTGAGGCACGTGCGCTGAATGGTCGACTTATCAATTAGCTGGCTGGACGCCCTGCGTAACCCAATCCCCCTCCCCCGCCCCTTCCCCAGAGCCAAACACTTCCCCTCCCTGCTGTAACCCATGTGAAAGCGGCTGGCCTGAATGGTTCCGGGTTCCGTCCCGGTTCCGTCAGAAGTGCTTGCCATTTTGATGCTGGACTATCGGGAGTGCCAGACAATTGGGCGCTAGACTATTGGAGTTTAACTGTACTTAGTTTTGGTGGGTAAACAAGATAAAGAAAAACAAATTTCCTATGTACAGTAAACAGTAGCACTACAAAATGGAAAAGTTTTTCTGTTATGGTAACTAGAAGCCCCAAATACTTTCCAAGCACCCTTAGCATCTTCACTTACGGTCAGCAACACAAAGAGCCATTGTGCATTTCAAAGGGGGAAAAAAAGAAATGCTGCTCCACTCATGTTATATAAATAAACTTGAACCACCTGTGAATAAATAATTCCCCATCTCTAACCCACAGATTGTTTTGCAATACAAGAATAATCACCATCACCTTAGTGTTCTACCTCTCAACTGGTCTATCTTCCTAGTTAGGGAATTATTAAACTGCAAAGTTTCTTACTAGATTTACTAAAGGTTACCTGTCAGATTAATTCTATGTAATTTAATAAGAATTTGTTTATATTATTCAGCTTTTTGTAAATCTACCAAACCCTTTAGTTTGGGGACCATTTTAATCTTGATAGTATAGTGCTTAGGGACGTTAGAGAATATTGAAACTACAAAAACTATAATCTATGTTATTATAGAACCCAATAATACAATTTGAACAAAGCCTTTATAAAACAATTATTCAACACTGATGCTTCTGAGTTCTAATAAGCTGCTATGTTAATTTTCTCCTTTCATTTTGTAAGTTTAAATTCATCGTACAAGTCCCCAGAAATTCTTCATATCTGGAAATATATTTGTTTGACTTACCTGTCATATTGCAGGTCCTCTGATTACTTTCAAAATGATATTGCCTTCGTGCTTGAGCAATATATTCAGCTGCTTCTCTTTCTTGGATTTCTTTTATTTTCTTCTGCCCGTATTTTCCCAGTAGGTATACTCCTATAAAGATATATATTTTTTATTTTAATACAACAAGCGGCTTTACAAAATGTCATTAAGCTCCTCCTACATCTGTCGGTTTGTTCAGTTTTACTATGTACCTCTCTGTATTTAACAGCCTCATGATATGCTTCTTCAAGAATCTGGTTCTCAGCTATTCAGGGTGGATTTTTTTCCACTGTACTACTAAAAACTGGAACTTCAAGCTGAAGATTAAAATGTCAAACTTAACTCTTTAAATGTATACAAATGTCTTCCAAATAGAGATTAGTCTCAATTTGGTAATTCGTCCTTTGGTGCTGGTAGGCATGTAATATCCTGCGTAATAAGTTAACTAGTTAAACATTGGATTAAGCTAACATTTAACTGGTTAACTGACTAAGCAGGATCCAGGCTAGGGCTCAGAACCAGGAGCTGGTGCAGCTCCAGCCCCTGTGGTAGGACTGCCATTCCGGCTGGGGCTGCCACTGGCTCCCAGCTCCTAGCCCCCTCCAGGGCAGTCCCTGCCTGCGAGACACCCTGTCCGTGGGGACCCTGGGACTGCTCTGGACGAGAGCAGCCCATCTGCAGTGGACCCCTATTCGAGGTATGCAGGGAGCTGCTCCAGCCCCCACTGGTTACTGGTAACCAGCTAACCAGTCACAACTGTAAGCCCTTAACATATGAAATCTCTTTAACTGGAATGAATGTCACAATGACTAAAGCTATTGAGAGACGTGAAAAATCCACACCTCTGAGCAACACAATTAAGTCAGCATAATGCTCAGTGTAGACAGTGCTAGGTCAATGGATAAATTCTTCCATCAGCCTAGCTACTGCCTCTTGGTAGGGATGTAAAAAAAAATCGGTGAAAAATGTAACTGTACAACCATTACAAATCCTAGCAGTTACATGGTTACACACGTTGCACAGCCGTTGCACGGTTACACACGTTTATTCTTTATTAAAGAATAAAGCTTTATACTGCACAGCCCAGCTCTGCAGAATAAAGCTTTATACTGCACAGCCCACAGCATGGCTGGCTGTCTGGGAGGGGGGCTGACAGCCCGAAGCAGGGATGTGCCAGGAGCCAGTTTATATACTAGCTCTAGGCTGCTGGCCCCACTTCTAGGGAGCCGGCTTCGCTGCTGGCTCTGTAGTATAACTTTATACCACGCAGCTCACAGTGCGAGTTTACATCTGGCTCCCTGGGAATGGGTGCTGGCGAGTAACCATAAAAGAAACAGATATGCTGAGGCTTATTGGTTAACCACTGAAACAGTTACACTTTTTCACCTCTCCCTCTTGAAAGTAGATTATATTCCCATCAGTGTAGGTAAACTGCATTTCCTTCAAATCCATGTCCCACTAACTCCCTAAGTTGGCAACTCAAGAACCTCTGAGCTGGGTAAAGCCAACACACCTTGCTACACACAACACTCATACTCAGTTTAGCACGTGTGCTGGGAATCTTTAGCAGAGATGAAGAGGACATAGCCAGACCTTACTGTGCTCTAGCAATTCATGCTGGCATAATGGCCTCCATGGAGACAGTAATAAGACAGCACAATTAACAGCAGAGTTGAATTTACATAAACCAAGGGTTCACAACTATCAAATTTCTACCCTCCAAAGGTTGCCCTTCCCTAGGATTTGAAGGTGGTGGTGGAAGGCATCTGCAGGAAATGTCAGATAACAGAAACATTTAGTCACATGATCCTTTTAAAATACACTTAGGAAATTTCAAATTATATCCTCCCTGAAAAACTGATGTAGAAAAATCAAGAAGCATAGAAACTACAATAAATGTTTTAAAATTACACCCTAACCCAAACGACAGGTTTTTGTAGATGGGCCCACCAATCCCCATTTCAGCTTTCCCCTGCCCTGCTCAGCTGCTCTAGTGCTCTTGCCAGTGAGCAGGGTTGGAACGCAGGGGCTTTCTCAACTCCAGCTATGATCTGGGGTGAAGGCACTGGGCTCGTCCAGTTTAGTAAGATGAGGGTCTGAAAGATAAGACCAGGTATCAAAGGCCTGGTGTGAGGCCTGAGGTCTAGGACCAATAGTCAAGACTTTGCTCAGATCAAACAAAGTCAAGTTGTGAACAGGAAGTAAGTTTAGTTAATAAGATTAAGAATAAATAAGATTGAGGGTATCAAACAATAGAGGTACAGGTTGTAAGAACATTTCAGAGGGATGGTAACAGAATGCTCCATTGAGAGGTATCTTGGTACCAACCTCAGCATACCAACTCAGGTTCATGACCAGGTCTAAACTTAAAGCGTAATAAAAGGTAATTAAACCCCCCTCATAGGAGGAAAGGGGAAGTAACTAAGTAACAGGAGGTGGAAACCTGATATGGCAGGAGTGATGTGTAACTTCTTTGTATCTGTATATAAAAGTGAACCCCAAAGAGTTGTCTTTGTTCAGCTGAGGGGGCAGTGTCTGGCACTGAGTTGAGTCCATTGTAGTGGGCATACACGTGTCAGCCTAACTACAGACCCTTTGGTCTGGGAAAGCTAGGAGAGTGCCTCATCTACAATGAACCTGGCCAGGCACCTTCGATCCTTACCTGATTTTGTGGTCTTCGGGGCCTATTTCAGAGTATGCTGTGTTGACGAACTGTGCATGGTCAACACAGTAAACAAGGGGGGGGGGATGCATGAAGGTACGCAGCCAATTGGTTATCATCACTGATGAGCAGGAAACCTGTCAGGACTAGGGATGTTAACTATTGGTTATTTTACTAGTCGAGTAGTTGATGGAATTTCCATTAACAACTCGACAGGCACTTCCACGTGCCTCATTTGAAATGTAGAAGAGGCTCCATGTTGTGTTACCAATTTGAAATGCCACGCAGATCCCAGGGTCAGATGGGGACTCCCCAGCTGATCCCAGGATTCCGCGAAAATGATGCACTGGAGCCCAGGATCAGCTGGGGAGTCCACTTGCAGCAGCGCCGCGCTGCCCCTTTGAACTCCACCCCAGTGGATAGAGGTACGGGGGGTGGGTGTGTGTGTGTGTCAGTGAACTCTGACTGCTACAGCCTGCTCTTCCCTTCTCATGCTCCAGCTGTGCAGCCTGGTCAGAGACTTACTTGTTCCACTCCTCTTGCCCAGAGCCCTTGCTGGAGAGCAGCATTGGTGCATAAGGCTAATAAGCCCCCAACCCCGCTCCTCAGTAGGAGTGCTGGGTGGATTGAAGGGCCACACCTCCACTACCCAATCCTGCTCCCAGGCAGCACCCCTACCCCATCCTCCCCAGGGGCCAGAAGTATGATGAGGTAAATGTCTAAACAAAGTCTACAACAAGGAGCAGAGAGGAAACCTTTCCATACTACATATGCAATGCTGGTTTATGTGCAATATGACTCAAGTGAGCAGGCAGGGACTCAGGACTACAAATGAGCTGACAAAGTTGGTATCGGCAGTGGCAAAAACGATCCACAGATATCACTCACCGCTGTGGATACCCATAGAGATCTGAAAATGTGCAGGGGGCTAGATACAAAATGAGAACCTCAAAAACGATCGCCGGGATGTAAAGCAGGTATCTGCGGATCCGCAGGGCTCTACAGTTTACAGTCTGCACAGCAGGATCCCTGGGGCTGACCCCTCCCCTTCCCTCGCAGGGGGCTGCTAGCGGCGGGTGGGATTCGTTTCTCCGGAGCTGGGCAGAAGCCCCCGCACTGCAGGCACCGGCAGATACAAAATGAGAACCTCAAAAACGATCGCCGGGATGTAAAGCAGGTATCTGCGGATCCGCAGGGCTCTACAGTTTACAGTCTGCACAGCAGGATCCCTGGGGCTGACCCCTCCCCTTCCCTCGCAGGGGGCTGCTAGCGGCGGGTGGGATTCGTTTCTCCGGAGCTGGGCAGAAGCCCCCGCACTGCAGGCACCGGCAATGCAACGGGGGTTAGTTCCCTGCTTCCCCCTGCACCGGGGGCGCCCTGACCTGACGTGCTGGCGCCCCCCGGGCACGGCAGGGCCCAGACAGACCCGCGGGGGGCGCCGCGCTGCGCCGGGG